GCATATATATTCCGATTTATATTTTTATACGATTTGGAAAAATTCTGCAGAGAAACTAAAGATTCCTTCATTCGATATACTCATGACGAATAATGCCTTATTTATCGCATATATATTGCGATTTATATTTTTATACGATTTGGAAACATTCTGCAGAATTCAAAGTGAATTTTACACTCTATCCTAACTGTTGTTCTTTCTTTTAACTGGACACTTCAGTGGGTTTTTAAATTTAAAGCTTAAAAACTTAAAGGCATAAAATAAAATTCTGAGATCACATCACAAACATATATGAAAACACTATAGTGGACGACGGCTCATCATTAAATAACCTAAACGACTTCTTCTTTATGTAACGACATTTAAATATAGGACATTATCTATTGGAAATGGTTAAAGAAATGGACCGATCCTGCTCAATTTCAATAATGCTCGTCCTTGGAACAACAAAAGTCTGTGTAACAAATTTTGTCAAACAATCGCAAATTAAATATGTTCGAATATAAAAATACTAGATGGACAGAAGGACAAATAAGCTAAGCGATTCAAAGAGTCTAATAAAATGTGGAACTACCCCGAATCTTTGTAGGTGTTGTACACAAAGTTAATATATCGTTATCGCGCAAGTGACGCTGGCTATAAAATGGGATAATTATCGATTTCTTGATAATAATGGGCAGATAGACTAAAGAATAATGATATTTACTATGTTCCTTTTCGGTATATACATTTTACAAAAGGCTAATATTCCATCCAATGTGATGGACGTAATTAATAATTATTGTTATGATTATTATTATGATTGTTAGTAGTTACCCAGTTCGAATGAATAAAATCTCAGCACATTCTGGCGAAATAGGTATCAAGTCTTCGTAGCTGATGTTGGCATCTTTGTACGGGTTAGCAAGGGGACGTATATTTTGACTTGAACTCTGACATCTATCTGATACATCGCTACAGCGTATTAAATGCGAAACAACCTGATGCAGTTTACTTAATTCGGGATATTGGTATTTGATCGATGGACCAGGTCCTTCATCCAAAGCTACTTGCATAAATATAACGGGAACATTTAACTGTAATATAAAAAGAAAGAAAATTAGAAATTAATTAATTAATTAATTTATTTAATTATTTTGAAAAAATGCAAAATTTTATACAAAATGCACCTTTAAAAGCTGTTTCCTCTCATGTATGCCCAAGCCTACATACATACTAAATAAACTAAAATAGTGTGGCAGATGTTTGCCATGATCGGCCGCTTCACATTTCAGCAGCTTAAGCACACTTATTAAAATCTGCTCGCACAGATTGCTACCATCGTAACCAGGCAACGGTTCATCATTTATAGCAAAATGACAAAAGAATACAACTAGTTTAACAAAAACAGTACGAACTTCCGGTGATGGAGCCATTAAAATATATTCACCCAAACGTGTAGGGGGACTCAATAAAGCATTACTGGCAAACCATTTGCGTATAGTCGATGAAAATCTTATATGATGTGAAAGTGTATCATACCTAAGAAAAAAAAAAAAACGAAAAACGAAAAACAAAAAACCAAATAATTAAATTATTCGACTAAGTATCTTGTGTTTTTTTTTTTTTTTAATTTTACCATTCAATTACTGGTCCGCGTAGAGACTTTTTAGTACGAAAGCCGGTATGAAAAAGAAACTGCGAAGCCAACTGCACTCCCAATAGCGATAGTTCTTCCGCAATGGGAGTCTATAAGAATTAAAATCAACGATAATAAGATGTGATTCGATTACAGATATAAAACCTTATTATGGACTCACCATTTTGTCGACACGTGGAGAAGGAATACTGCAGCTAACTAATTTTTTGATGAAATTGAAAAATTCTACCGAAAATATGCTTTTAGAGTGAAGGAAGCGTATATTTTGATGTCTATAATTAAAAAAGAAGAAGAAGCAGATTAACATTACATGTATGAATTGAATAGGAAAGGAAAGTTGTTCTGTTTTTGCATTCATCGTATTTATTAGGTACTTGCAAAAATTGTGACCAGCGAATTTTACAAGATAAAAATGATACAAGAAATGGGGAAATACCAGTGTGCATAATGATTAAATTTGATAATTTTGATCTTTCCCTATATAAAATAACAGTTTTCCATTTCATATTAGTGATTTATTCAGGGCACGCCGACGCTAATCATGGAACGCTTAAAATTTCATTTTCAATCTTGATTACTTCTGTTGCCTAATTTGTAAAAATTTGCTGCCGAAGCCCAACAAACATGTGCAGACGCTTGTAGTGATGCTTCTCCATCATATCCAAATTGTCAAAAGTGTTGATTTCAATGTCAATGACAAAAAAACAACCTGGAGGAGCAAAAAAGTTCAGGGACTACGAACTGCAAGACTAATTGGGCGATGACCAGTCAGCTCAAAGTCTCGAAGAACTTTCGAACAGCTTGAAAGTTTATTAATCAACTGTTCCTAGACGTTTACACGTGATGGGAAGGATCCAAAAGGATGAAAAATGGCGACCGTACGAATTGACTGCGATTGCCATTTCGAATCAATACAACATCACGGTTTGATTGCTTTCTAGGCAAACAAAGAAAAAGTGTTCTGCGGCATACTGTGACTCGCGATGTACAGTGGATCTCCTATGACAATCCAAAGCGCAAAAAGTCATGGCTCTATCCAAGAGAAGCATCCTTATCAACACCAAGACGGAATATTCATGGCCATAAAATTTTGCTGCGCATATGGCGCGATCAGAAAGTTGTAGTGTATTACGAGCTGCTAAAATCAAATGAAACGTCAAAGACGTCTACCGACGTCTGCACAAATTGAACGATGTATTGTTGCAAAAAAGAGCAGGAAAAGCGGCTAAAGCGGCTAGCGTACGAATATGACCGAAAATGCCATTTTGATTACTTGTTGCAAGAGTTGTCCCTTGACAACACTATAGCAGCTCGAATAGGAAGTTAAGCCACGTTGATTACCACTTGTTGAGATCGATGCAGCAGATCAGCAAAGTTGAAGAAATGCACAAACAGGTCGATGATTGGATCGCAGCGAAAGCAATATCATTCTTCCAACGCGGTATCGACATGTCGCCAGAGAGATGGGAAAAAGTTGAAGACAATGATGGAAAATATTTTGATTAATATACATTGTACCAATTTTTCTCAATGAATGCCCTCTTCAAGGCAAAAAAATTGCCAACATTTTTGCAAGCAATTAATATATGTGGATTTGAAGATTTGTTAATATCTAACAAATAGTCATAGACCCACGAATCAAAAATTACATAATACCATAACAATTAAACGATATCTATCTGTCTGTACATTTGTTGGAAGCATGATTATTTTTTCCAAATATCTGTCTGGACGCACAAGCCTTGTATCTACGTTTTTATTGCCACTCAAATTAGCGTAAGTTCAAACGTCAGCTGAATCATCAGTCAAGGATACGATTCATAATTAGCGAAAATTTTAAATATCGACTCTTTTTTTAACGTATCATCAAGCTTTTCCGTAAACGATTATCTTTCATGCAAATTCGAAAATCCTCTAAATCAAGTTTCCAGAATTTGTTCACAAATGATACAAAAAATAGGGCGGAATAGATAAAAATGACTTTTAGCTTGAACATTTACCTATGAGGTGAGATTGAAACTAGTAAACGATAAAGAAATCATGTGAAATGAAAATATATTTGCTCTAACAACGAAATTATGTGTAAAGGAAATTCGGCACGAACTGAATAATATTTTAAAATTAATAAAAATAATAATTTACCTAACACTTCTCTCAATGGGCTTTGGTAATGGCAATACAATATTACGACTCTCGGCCAATGACAATTGTTCAACACTTGGTTCAAATTGTATTGGTTTTTGATCACAACGAGTATAAAATAACATATATGCATTCCACCAGCGTTTTTGGCGTCTATACTGCATTCGCTTCAAATTACTATCATAAATTTCACCCATATAATCTCCACCGAAACACTGAGCTTTCATCTCTTCGTCCTCATTCATTTTGCATTCCGTGACCTCGCCATCATCGAATTTATACCATTGTTCCCTGCCGGTAGAAGGATTTCTAAGTATGGGGGGAATAGAAAAAGAAAATTTTCATTGACGCGTGCAAGACTTTAAAATTTTTTGTTTATTTAAAGACAGCGGCACTTACTTAGAGAGAATGTAACTGAAATAATGGCCTCCTGAAGCTTGCCCGCTATGCACTACAATACCCGTTAATTCATATTTAGTTGTCTCATCGCTTATTTGGCAATTGTCACCTATTTCAATTACTTCGCCTTCTAATTTGGCTAAACCGGATACTTTTTTGTAAAATCGTTAAAAAAAAAAAAAAAAGAACCAAAAACACCGAAAAGGGAAATTATTTATAAAGATAATTATTTAATGAATTACTTTAACACGTTAAGGACGGCGCAATTTTTCCTAGTTCGCATAAGCATTCGCTTGTGAGAGCCACCGGTGGTATATGCCGTCCTTAACGTGTTAATAAATATTGGAAAATATTTATTTGAAAATGCGTACCTGTGTAGGGTTCCATATCTAAAACACGAGGAAATTCAAAATAATCATTAAACTTAATCGCACAAACACGTTCATAATCGTATTCAAAGCGTTTTAATTGTATGGCTAATACAGGCGGTAATTTTTTAACACACAACCGCTTAATTGTAACTACCTAATAAAAATAATATATATAAGATTAGAATTTATGCATTATATGTTAAACTTGTAAAGCATTAATATTATTATCACTTACTTTTTTATCACATTTATCACAATGGTATGCATCAGCGCCCTCGAGCAATTCACCTTTTACATACTGTTCTAGAGATTCGGTTAATGAGCTATGATTTCGTATATCAACACTAAACACACTGAATGGCTCCTCTTTCGAATAACGATGAGGACATTCTTGACAAATTTTCTGATCACTAAATGAACCTCCCAAAGTCGCATTCATTAATTGCGTGTGACCTAGCGCTTTCAGACCTTCATCGAGACTTTCAAACAACGACATGAAAAATTCAACAGCATCTTGTTGTTCACGCAAGTTAACTGGTTCTCCTTGCAATCTATGAATAATAAATGAAATCATTTGCATAAAATTCTCATCTTTATAAGAAAACGAACTTGAAATGTGTCCAGAGGCCACGCGGCACATAAAATTGCAAAGCACTATGGCCCAAATGGGCGAATATGGCCTGAACATGTTTTAATATCGTCACATGATAGTTTTTGCGAATATCATTATCGTTTCCGTCGTCGCCAGAATTGGAGAACAGCGTCGAACCCCCCAGCGTATTAGATTCGGGTTCGCCAGTAAAGTCCTCGTTATCATTGACGGCTGCTCCCTCAGCCCTAAGTATACCAACTCGTATCGAGGGCACCATATACAACTGTTGCAAAACCGAATTCATGTAGCACGTGGCCCCTGCGTTTTTGAGGCCGCAAAAACCTTTAGTGGGGCGGGCTCCTACGGGCGGCAAATAATCCCAATCTCTCACCGGATCCGTATCTAAAAGGAATGGCTTTCACGTCAAACCAAAAAACCAAAAAAAAAATTCGAATTCATGTCATGCGACTTACCATTACATACGAAATCAATAATAGTGTTTGTTAAGAGCTTCATGTTAGGTACACAGTTTTGACATAAAGCCATCAACAAGTCACAGGCAGCTGCTATTGTATGTGGGCTACGACAAACGGGCGGTGGAGCAGTTTCACGCCTCAATTTACCATTTTTACGTAAATGCAAATACTCCCGCGAGGCGGTGAATATAAAATCATCAATGAGTTCGTGTATTAAATCGCATAACTGCGCCTTAGTTTCAGGAGGTAAGAAATACATCAATTCCTTAGCCAAACAAAGGTGACCTTCCAAGAGATCTTCGTGCACTTGCACATCCCCGGTGTTAACGACATGTTCTCGTATTTTTTGCAGCCATTTAATTTCTTCCGTTAACAGACCTTCACCGATGTTCAGAGGCCAATTGACGAGACAGCCATAGGACAAAGTACGACATAACAATTGAAAGAAATCAGCACAGGTGGCTTCATGCAGCGGCACTAAGGTTTTTAATAAACTGACTAATAAATTAACCATATAAGCGAATGGTCGTCGATCCCCCGCACAATAAGTGCATGTTAAAAATAATTGTTCGGCCGCCACTTGCCGAACATGTCGATATTGATTCTTTAATATTAAACATGTTATAAATTTGGACCACAAAGGATCGTTATTCAGAGCCTCATTGGCGCTCGGATTAAGCACCAGCGAAATAGTTAGCACTTCAAGGGCCTCTTTACATACCATAAAATCCTGAGTATCTGGCATTGAAGTATCATCGGCAAAGTCATGTTTGGTGCCTAACATTTGCAAGTTACCACAAGACGATGCCCACGCCAATTGAACTACAGCTTTAATGGTGGATACATCGGGAGAGGCCCATTGCAATGTCGAGGCAAACAGTACGCGACAGCTTTCACCTTCTGGACTAGCCGATAACATTTCGTGGGACAAATTTTCGGCTAGCTTCTGTGAAATGGCACGTAACGTAGTTTCGGAGGGGTTAGGGATGGAAGTTAGAATTTGTTTGAGTATTTCCACTTGAGAGCGGGAACCCAATTCGAAACCGCTGAACATGGATTCATCGCCAACACGCGACAGCACGCATCCCACAATATATAGAAATAACTTAACCAAACGCAATACGCATTGAAATGCAGCACGTTTTGTATACATATCGGCATTGGGTAGGAAATTATTTTTGGTTAATAGCTCAAGAACGAAATGGGCACAACCCGAATGAAGCCAACAAGACTGTATTTGCGTAGCAGATTCCCCATAAGGATCTAAGGCTGGCATTAATAATCCATTTAAAACGCACAAATTATAGTGAACCTGAGCCGGCGTGGGATGTAAAAACATCATTTCAGGTGTACAGTCCTGGGGATTAATCTTGTAGAACAAAAGCGAACTAAGTAATTAGACTTTCTTAATGGCGTCATTATTTTAGCTCACCTGATCATTAATCGATGAACTCTGCTGTTGTTGTTGCTGTTGCTGAATTGAAATATTTCCACTAACGCTACCATTACCGCCGCCGCCACCACCAGTAACATTTGGATCATCTGCTTTGACTAAATTGCTGATATTAGCAGTGACGGCGGAGGACTGTGACACCAAGATGGGTAGACCGCACATCAATTGTAACATTTTCACAGTTTGGCGATCACAAGGCAATAAATGTAATAACATTCTCGCACCCTCACGTAAACGATCATGTTCCAAATCGCTGCCTAATTGATAGAGTTTGAGGAAGAACTCAACGTATTGATAGTTCTGAGAAATAATGACTCCAGGCAATGTACTTTCCGATTCTACACGTTGCATGTCAGGGCAAGGACGGGGTGGAGATCCTGTGCTGGAATCGCTTGAAGAATCAGGACTGCTAGCCAGTCCTGTACCCATCGGAGTTAACTTAGCGGTTAATATCATTTTATCACGTATTGTATACTGGGCTAGAGGATTAATTTCATCAGTAATATCTATGAGTTCTCCGTTATTGTAATAAAGCTCCACTTTAATATTGGCGCTATACGTGCCCTTAATACGTTTGAGTAAATTACGTTTAAACGAAGCCACCATTTCGTTATTGTGTGTTGTAATCTCTATATCATCGATGGGCCTACCTGGATTCTGAAAGCGTATATAAAGACTAGTGTGTTTGCCACGCGTGGCACGCATCAATGGCAACAGGTAACGGTCGCCGTTAAAGGAACGATCACACTCTTTAATGTACTCTTGTAGCACCTTTATGATACGGCACATTTTCTCAGCCTCTTTAAATCGCATCTTTGTATCTTTAGTATCATTTTGATCCACCTGATTGCCGTCATCTCCCATCGATGGTACAGCATTCGTGCTATCCAAAGCTTTACCCAATATCATAATGTTACTATAATGCGTACGTAAACGTTCACAACATTCGCCGATAAACATTTCATGAAAATCACATATATTTTCCTGCAAACGTGGGCCTAACGCCGTGGACACTTCTTTAAGTAAATCAATAGCTTTGTTAGCAATCTCTTCGCCCCCGGTAGTGATGACGCGCCATAAATAGTCTTTACCAATTAAATCCTCATTATCGAGTATGTAGCCCCGATGTATAGCCTTCAATTTATCTTCTTTGGAATTGACTGCTTTAAAGAAACGTTCGAAACATTTAATACCGCTCTCAGTCAACAAATGCGGATCTAGTTGCAGTATATTATTTTCGAAGAAATCCTTATTAATGCCGGGATCGAGATCAGGTTCTTCACCCATCAGTTTCCCAAACCAACGGAAACATTCTTCACGATCCGAAGGGAAAACTGCGCTAACCGCTAAGCAATGCCAAATTTGTTTAGCCTGATCGGCACACAACCACAACTGGCCATCTTTTAAGAGAAATTTCAAAAAATCTAAACGTTCTTGTATTTGCATTGTATGTGGATAACGGACATCTATGCACAAAGTAGAGGGATCCACGTTAGGCATCTCGGCTATAAGTGATCGAATTTTATCCATATACGCTGTCAAACTGTTCGTAACTAAAATCACTAAGGAATAATCGTTTTGCAAACGCTCAATAACAGCCTGACGATTTAGAGTTTGCTGAGATCGGGGCGCATGACTGGTCGAGGCCTCATAGAGACAGCAAATTTCTCGTATTAAACGTAAAGCTGGTAGCACCCAGGTGTCATTTGTTTTCAATTCACTTACACACTTATCCAACCACACTATCTTTTGGGCATCACGCTCTTGCGAGCAACTATAATCGAGAATTTTTACATGTGCCGCTAAAGCCTGATCAAGAACTTCTGGTGGTATCTCTTGGCTATGAGCCAAAGTCCAAAATAATTTGAGTACTTTTTGAGCCATCACGCCATTTTTATCGTCCTCAGCCAAACGTCTTATTAATTCAAGAAGACGTTCGCGTTGCCTTTTATTGGCAGTTGTCATGCTAGCCTATATTTATATATAAGAAATAAGAAAATGTCACCACGAATTGTTATAATTTTATAATTAAAAATAAAACCTGAAATGATTCAAACAAATGGTCCAATTGTTCTGGTGTAAAATCCCAAGCCAATTTGGCCAACAAATCATGCACATTCTTAACGATCGCTTCATGTTTACCAGCTTGAGCTCGCCACACGGCATCTAAATCTTCTAGGGACAAGGCATGTTCCTTAATAAGAAAGCGTATAATTTTTTCCAGTTTTTCTACATATTGAGGTTGATGCAAAGAATCCCGTAATACAATTCCCAATACATCAGATTCCTTTATCCAATCCTGACGATGAAAAAAGTAAATTTTTTTACTTTAAAAATTATTCTAAATACAACTACACTTACAGCCATTCTTTCCGGAGTCAACCAATCCATGTCGTCATCGGGTATACAATGAGGCAGTTGCTGTGTTCTATGCGAATAATAAGAAACGGAGGTCAGGACCTTATTAATTTCATTAAGAGCATTCATTTTGCCATTAAAGCTAGACACTTGCAGTAGACGTAAAATCATCTTTAAACGGAACATTTCCAAATTACGTATAAGCTCTTCCTGTCCAGGCAAGCGACTAGCTAAATATCTCGCAGATTTCACAATGCCATTGATGTAATCATTGCGACCCTCCGGTTTGGCTTCACGTTTCAATTCTTCATCCGAGAAACTATCCAATAAATCTAAGACAACATTCCAAATGGGCATAAAATATTTTGAAATCGTTGAGGGTAAAAGCAATTCATAGCATTGGCCGAACGGCCTTAATAAGCTATAAATCAAGGCCAATGATAGTTTATTATCTTGTTCGTGATCTGAAGCCAAACTGGTACGAGATGTGCTCGCTGATTTATTGCTACTGCTGCTGCTTGACGCTTGTTCCTGTTGTTTGCGCAGTATTAGTAAGCCGCGATTAAAACGCTCTTGTAAATTGTCGAAACCGCCCAACTGTCCAAAACGATTAATTAAGTCGACTAACCAACCACGTGGATTTTTAGGCTCTGGCGGTGGTTTAGCAAACATTTTATTACCATCCAATACACCCCACAAATGCTCAGGCGATGTAAAACATTCCGGCTGACGAGCTGCATTATACGTATTAAATTTATTATCTGGATCGAAAACGATTGCTAATAAATCGAGCAAATATGGATTATCACGCGTCATATGAATGGCAATCAAATGCAACAGTTTGCCACAAGAGATCAAAATGCAATGATGTATATTATATTTCCAAGAGTTAACCGCCTCATCGGTAAGAATTTTCGTAAATGAGGTTGTCAAAGCATTACGATAAAATTCTACACAAGGCTCACACTCATGATCAACACCTTAAAGAACAAAAAAAAAAAAAAAAAACAAAAAACAATTTATTAATTATATATAATATATAATTCACAAATCATACCAACTGTTGTTAAACCAATGGCAGCATTTAACAACACTTCTAACTCCTGTTCGGGCAGGACTGGTACCACCCATCGTGGATTTGATATCTTTTGCGTTAGTGAACGTAATTTTAATGTGGGAAATGATGAAATCAACTTCTCTGGCGAACTAAAATAAATTCAAAAAGAAATAGAATAGAAAAATATTTATGTATAACAGAGAAATGAATCATTAAACACTTAAGCAAACGTATTGTCACACAAATTTGGTATATTGGTATATCTATCCATCCATTTTCTTAAGTGTAAGTATCATACCAATAAGCTGAATCAACATTATCTGATATTTGTTGCTGTTTTTAATTTACAAAATTGAAGTTGTTATTATTTTGAAAATAAAAGGAAAAAAAAATTGTTGTCTCCCACACCACTTGTGGTACAAGTGTACAAGTTTGTGCGGATGTGTGCGACATACCGAACGATTTGAGGTAGGCCTATTTTTTATCGCATCGATCGAATCACTTTCTGAATGAATTTAAGCTTGTGGTTCCGTCGGTCCGCCAGATTAATTATTGGACTAAATATCGTTACAGACGTTCCCATCCATTTATGCGCAACGGAGGAATGATTCATTAAACACTTAACCAAATATATTGTCACACGAATTGGTATATTGGTATATCTATCATCCGTCTTCTTAAGTGCATATAATAATCATACCAATAAGCTGAATCAACACTATCTGATAGTTGTTACTGTTTACTTTACAAAATTAAAGTTGTTAGTATTTTGGATATCAAAAAAATATTTTCAACTCCATGCCGCTTGTGGTACAAGGGTATATTAAGTTTGTGCGGATGTGTGCAACACCTAGATCGACTTAATATAGACCTGTCTCTTATTACATCGATTGAATTGCTTTCTGAATGGATTTAAGCTCGTGATTCCGTCTGTCCGGCAAGGAAACCATTGGACGAAATATCGTTGCAGACTTTGCTATCCACAAAATGCTATTTGATTTTTAATTTTTCTCGGGCCATCTGTTAATAATGATAGAACCAATAATGTAATCGAATTCTAATGGCATTTAAATGCAGATATATACCTAAGTTTCTTTTTACACGAATTTTATTTACTTGAAATTGGATTTAACCAATACACCAAGTCTCTTTTTACACGAATTTTATTTACGTGAAATTGATTTTAGCATGAGTTAAAAAGAAAAAATAATTCTCCTTTTACACGAATTGTTTTGCTTTAACACGATTTTCAATATTTTATAAATTTTTTTTTTTGATATTTCAATCTCACTTGCGTTATATTTTTCATAATTCAGGGAGATCGTGTCGGTTATATGCGTATATAAGTAGGATTCCCCGAATTTGCTCAGATCGATGCAGCATGACTGCCACAAGGTTTCGAAATGTGTCGATGACTGGATCACTGCCAAAGCAATATCGTTCTTTCGAAGCGGCATCGCCATGTTGCCGGAAAGATGGGATAAAGTCGTAGAAAGTGTTTGAAAATATTTTAATTAATATATATTGTAACAATTTTTCTCAATAAATGTTTTTTTCTTAAGTGTAAAAATGATCAAGATATATGCACGAATCTAATATTTCGAAATATTTATATCAATATTTTTGTATTTGCGAACTTATACATAGAGGCAATCAATAGTTTATCTTAGTTCCGTTGCATTATTTTGCATTTCCTCAATCTTTGGGACCACGACTGTATTGTTTCGCATTTCTTCCATTTTCGTAGCGAATTCATGCATATATGTATTAGGTTGGCGGGAAAGTTCTGTCGCATTTTTAATAAAATATTTGTTCATTCGTTCAAAAGTCGCATGGTTTGAGCTCCTTTGCGATTGAAAAATGGTTAGATGCCGGTTACATGGACCGTAAATCATCATTATTCTCGCCCAGATTTACGATTTTCGTGGAAACTGAAATCTCCGGAAAGAAATTTTTACAAAACTATCTTTGTCAGATGCGCTCATTTACAACTTCACATCTCAATGTTGCGTGGATTAAAATATCAGGTTCGCTTGGGTACCACACCTAGGCTAGGTTATTATTTCCGATTTCTATTATAATTTTGTTATATTCTAGTTGGATTATTTCTTTTATGTCGTAAGTTTATAGTTACCCTTATGAAAAAAAAGTTTTTAGAATGTGAAGTTATCACATTCGCAAGCACTTCACCTGGTTTCGAATGTGATTGTAATCCGTCGGTGCCCTTCGTCAAGGATTAATCCTACGGAGCAGAACAGCATCATTCACGCCCTACAGGAAGCAAGGCTGCCCTGCAGTTTCAGAATAAGAACATGTATGTGCTATATTCTTCCCTCTGGCTAGGGCAAGGCCTACCTACTATCTCAAATATTTAATGTTCCCTCGATTTTGAGAGCAACCACAACCACCACTCAATTCGGAAATAAATGCGTTTACTTATTTTTCCGGCAGGGAAATGGTAGAGAATGAACGTTTTATAATTCTAGGGCCAGGGTAAGTCTTCCGAACAAACTTCATTATCAACAGAAGCCGCACATCTGGATAAGACCGGCGAGTTAACTTTCGGTAACGTCCAACGAGAGCTAGCCTAACTAATCAGATAAGAGAATATGACGCATTCTCGGTAAATGACGGCAAAACTTTTCCGCCAACCTTTTACATTGCATTTGCATGCTTAGACTCAATAATACGTCTCTACTTTTTTTATTTTTGCTAATCAGTATAAAAATTTTTTATTTATTCTATTATTATAAAGAAAAGAAATTTGGCTTAAATTGTTGTAATAGCAAGTAGTCGGGCAAGGTCAACCACTAGATATACTACATTAGTTCACCTACTCCAGTTACTCGCTCATTTTGATGATAGTACATCAAAAATGACTTATTGTTTTGATGCGAAGGCATATATTTAATGAAAGCCAGCAAATTGGAGGATTCCCAACCCATCAAATGACGTGATCCAAAACTTAGCAAACTTCATTTACTTCCAAGACTTTTTATTGTTTTTCATTTACCGCAATAAAAAACCAAAAATTATGCTTCGCCTCGAAGTATGGGCTTGCTGTCATGATAATCCTTATATATGTTAGGTTCGAAGAAATTCACCTATTTAGTCCCAATTTCTTACTATTCATTCTTTTTGTAAGGAAAAATTTTCACTATAAAGTATGAAAAATTAAAACTGCTCTGAAGAGTATTCGATTCATGAGAAATCTTGTATGAAATGGAGATCACGAAATGGACCGACGTAATTCAAATTTGATCCACTTAATTTTTATGTCAAATTTCCATTATTAAAAAATTTTCATCATAAAACACTAGCAATTACGCCCTTTTGGCCTACAAAGGCTTACATTTCCTGCGAATCCTTATATGCGGTAGAATCTAAAAACCCGACCTACGTGATCCAAATGCTGATTTCTTTGTCAATTTATTATTATGAACTAATTTTCACCATGAAGTATTGAAAAATTAGACCTTTCTACCATATAAAGATTTAGTTTTTGTAGGAGCCGTTTTACGAGTGATGGTTCAAAAACACGTCCCTGCCTAACCAAATATTTCACATCAATTTAAAATATCAAAATACTATCACTCAATATTTTTTGTCGAGAAATTTTTGAAAATATAAAGTATTATTCGAGGAGAGGACCGATCCCAATACATTTTCAATGACGTTTGTGTTTGGGTCAAAGCATGTCAGTGCACCATATTTCATGAAAACATCTCAAAAATTACGACTTATATCGTCGGCTGGATAGACGGACAGACCGACAGGCAAGTTTAGATCGGTACAATAAAAGGTGGACGGGTTTAAGTCCTACTGGGTGTTACGGATGTCCGCACAAACTTAATATATCCTGTACCACCAATACTGTAGGGTATAAAAACTTTAACTCTTCAATCTCTTAAATTTTTAATGACATAGAGAGAAAGAGAAACGACAAAGGTATACGGCTAAATTAATTCACATAAATGTTATGGTTTTTCGTTTTTTTTTTTTTTTTTTTTATTCTCTAAAAAGTTCATACATATAACTCATCATATGGTTTATATACCTTTGGATATGGTTGGTATTAAACAAAACGCTATGTTATTTTATGGATACGGATGATGTCACAGTTTGCACAAACACCACAACGACAATTGCAATATCACAAAAAAAAAAAAAAAAAAAAAAAAAAAAAAAATGAGAGAAAAAAAGAAACGCACAATAGAATGATAGCTCTATCGACCATTACACAATAACAACATTGCTTAAAAACATATTAAATATGTGTGGCTATATGTGCGGGTGTACATTCACTTTATACATGTTTCGGAAGCCACAAAAATGCCAAGCATTCGAAAAGAATGTATTATAATAATAATAAGTAAATAAAACTAATAACTAAAAAAGAAAAAGCAAAAACAAAAAAAATACTAAGAAATATTTGCTTGTGAATGCATTTTATTAAACACGCATGCAATCGGAACATGATCTACCCGCATTGAAATCTTATCATCACATCTCTGCAACTGAAGATTGACCATTGATGGAATCTTTAAAATTTTTGCCTAAGAATTCTGAACAATTTTCTATGGAAAACTTTATTCTCCTCTCTATGAAAATAAAATGAATACTGACTGAATAAAGAAATTTCATTTAAATATTTATAATTGTTGACCTACGTAATTAAATAATTATCGCTTCCTTGCAACTTTGTAATATGAAAAGGAAATGTAACTCATTTCCTTGGCTAAAATTGCTTTTGCTTGCTTCTCTGAGCAAATGACAAATTCCGTAAGGCGATTAAATCTCCTAAATGTTATGCAAAATTAACCCGCGTGTCATTGGGCACCGTGGGGTTAAACCGACAGGGTAGTGTATCCACGTTAAATCATCAAAGACGTCTGTATTAAGAGTAGGTTACACTTATTACCGCCTCACCATGAATAGCCGAGTATAGGCAAGTATTTCGGCGACCGCCAAGCCATTGCTCGAATCTCAAATGTGGTAGATATTACTTTGCTCGTATTGAGTTGAAGTGAGTATTCAGTGGGTAAAAGTAGAACACTTCGTTCTGGGGAAGATTTCCTGTGTCGTAGGCCCACATTTAAAAAAAAAAAGTGATCGAACAACGAAGCTTATTGTCCAATAAAAAACAACAAATTAGTGGCCTACCATTAAATACCCAGCACTACTTTGCTTAATGCAGTTGTTCGTATAACGACTTTTCAAAAGAAGATGTTATATGAGAAGGGACCGAAAAGGTGTTCCAATTCACGACTTTTCCAGCAGCGTTTGTCGCTAGACCAAAACACATCAAAATATCTCAAAATTTGCTACCAGTAACAAACAAGGCGGACGGACGGACAGACAAAAAGTAAGGGATAACTTTATTTCAAATCCTTCTGGTCGATGCATATATCCGCAGAAACCTTATTACGCACGTGTATAGTATGAAAAACATTTACTGTCCACTTTCCAATTAAAACTTTCATTTACAAAGAATAAGGAATAGGGATGTGCCAGCGTCTGAATAATTAATCAAGAAGAAGAAAGCCAGTATAGCTACCTTAATTCTTTAAGAAAGTTAGCCCAGAAGCAATCAGAAGCAATATATCCAACATGTCCAAATATTTTCGCAGTCAAGCATGACTATTACTTGGATATAGTGGAGTGAGGTGGGGACGATCAGATCAAAAATCGTTAAAACGAAACTTCAAAATATTTGGCAAACATCTCGAACCGGTTAGTTGTTCCACGATGACTTTAACTGTGCTGTTGCTGATGAGGGGAGAGGGAAACGGAGGGCATAGAGGGACAAAAGAGCTTTGTAATCAGTCACAACTCGTTCTCGTTATAGTTGTTTTGATTGTGCATCAATTTTGTTGTTGCAAAGGAATAGTCATAAGAATATACTCCGAATTTTATAATTAAACAGAGTTGACTGTTAAGTTCAGCGAACCACATAGTGAAAAAAAGCCTTTTAACGTCTGATATCTCTGTGATGTTGTTCAGCGGAGGACTTAACGTCTGGCCAGACACCTACCAGAACAGCCAAACTATTAAAACACAAATCTATGCAATGAAATTTCGTAGATCCCTTCGAGATATGTTTTCGTTTATCGTATTTAATTTAATTTCCATAAACCCAGAATTCAGTTACAGCGAAGATTCACCTGAATTGCGCAATTCATACATTTGAAGACTTAACCTAATTACAATTCAAGAAAATAAAAGCTTAAAACAATAGGCAATCAATACAAATATCTATCTATCAATTGCCCATCAAAGCGCGTATCAGAATTCCGTTTAATAACGTTTAACTATTATTCGTCGCCGACGTCACATAAGCATTAAGGAAAGAAGATCCGATAAGGAAACAAGGTTATAAATCTTATTACCTCATTTAGATTTCTGCAGAAAATTCTAAGTGGATTAAATATCTCTTAGTTTAATTTTAATCTACATTGATTAAGTTTGATAAAAAGACGGGCGGACAGAAATGTTAAAATTAATCGCACTCAAAAAAAACAGCGACTCAATGGCAACGTTAATCAGCTTCACCATAAAGTTAATGTCCACCTACGTTTCTTAAGTGACGGCAAGGATATAAGTGGCAACCTATTTCCATAAGGAGGGAGACGGGCGCTTGGATCCCAATATAAGTTTCTTAGAGCAAATAATAAAAACTGCCTCTGCAAGAATTCAATGCAGTTCACATAAAATGCAACGATACGATGGCGATCATACCGGTGGCCGAGGCCTATTCCAATACAGGGTGCGCGAAACTGACATATAATCTTCTCGTCACATATGGATCGTTAAATTCTCTCGGCCAGCGTCTGATGCAGCCTAGTACTGCAGCTGAGAATTGAATCGAACTTTATGATCAAACAAGATACCTACGTCAAGAATGTGCGCTCCCCTAACTACCTGATATTCCGTTGGGAACAAGCTTCTCCTCGAAAATGACAGTTTCTTGTCGGAAATTGAAGGAACATCACTTTACCAAATTATTTACGTGAACTTGGAGGAGACATGAGTGAGGCGATATTATTGATGTATAGCAGAAACGGAATTGGTCCCAGGTAGGTGGCCCTTTGAGGGACACCTGAACTGACAAGAATCCCATCCGATTGATAATTGTCAAAAAGCACTCAAAAGGATCTACCATCTAGAAAGGGGTACAAGCTATCAACAAAATATGGATGGAAACCTAAGCGAAGACTGTTTCCATAATAACAACTTATGTTTAATTCTACTAAAAATCTTGCTTAGATCAGTGTAGATAACATCCATTTGTAAGCCAGCCTTTGGAAAAGGCCTCAAATGCATTCGCTGATTACTGGTCGTAAACACGACGAGTCACCTAAAACAATTACATCACATTTCGGATATAAATTACTGGAACTTAAGGGAACCACATGATTCTTGCCATCATGTTTCGAACATTTTTAAACTTCGCATATCCCAGGTGAAGTCAGCGAACAATGAAGAGATATTTCAAACTGCACTAGTCTCTATAAAGAGGACGAAAACCAAATAATGAATAACCGCATGGAGTAGTAGATGAACAGATATATCATCTTAGGTGGGAAATATATATCTGTCAATTTTCAACTATATGTTAACAATTATTAAATAAAAGAATTTTTTCCTTTCTCTTAAACCATTGACTTTAAAATTTTGCAAATCAAAGTTTTTTTCTTTTGAGAAGCATAAATTAATTTCGTTAGAAAATGTCTTCGTAGCTTATTTTTCATCTTCTGCGCGTAAGATTAGTGCAATTTGCAAAGAAAACTGAAAAATTTGGGGGAAAAATTTAATGCAATGAAAAGAACGTAAATGCTTTATGTACGTAGGTGGGGAAATGCATTATTAAAACAGCAATTTAAATAGAAAAAAAAAAACCAAAAACCATAATAATGAGAAAAACTAATGCGTGTAAAGAATTCATCTTGAAACGAATTATGGTTACTCTACACCTAAGGTAAGTCGCGAAGCGTAGAACAATAAGTTGAGTTGGATCATTTTTAATTTTGTATATTCATACACTTTATTGGTTCAAGTGTTAAATTTGTATGATGAGTATATATGTCATCGTCTGTCCATGCGTCCTTGTCGGATTTCTTAAAAAAATTTTTTTTTAATTATGAATATATATTTGCAATAATAATGTATTTTATAAAATATTTTGTAGCTTTATTACAATCTGATATCGGATTATATATACTCTGTATTCGACGAGTATACTCGTCGCTCATCGCTAAACAGTTCAACGCAATTTACTGGTAGTAGTGGTAGAGGATAGATGTACACTGTATTAAAAGCAAATTAAAAACAAGCTACGAGTTACAAAATCCCGATCTTGATAGAACATAAACAGACGGATTGAAAGTTTAGAAATTTCAAAAGATATATTACATTTTCGAATTTCTGCGATCTTTGATAATAAAATAAAAACATGTATATTTTTAAGGTTTTATGTCAATTGTTGTCAGGTTCAATAACATCTGTATGCAACTATAACAGGAAGAGGAATACCAAAGTCTAACGCTGAGATATCAACTTTGTTACGACTTAAATGACAAATATATCATACCACTTGGCGAGAAAGTCATGGCGATGAGCTAAGACACTTCCAAAAATATAGAAGACGTTCATTAAATACATACAAGCAAATAGTATATAATATATATATATACAAACATCCATGCATAAAAATGTTTATATATGCTTGTAGAGATAAACCTTTTCACTAAAGCAAATAAAAGCTCAGCTCTACATATGTTTATTAAAGTGTTTGCGTGATATGTGTGACATGAGTTTACTGAAAGGATACGATATAATTCAAATATACTTACACTGTGTCCGACATTGAGACGCCAGGTGTCTCCCCTAGGGGATTAACAGTCGTTGAAATTGAACTTTCTGTAAGATTTTGCGTAGTGTTGATTAATGTTGAACCCTCACCATTGCCACTACCACCAATATTACTACTACTGCCACCCACTATAGTAGATGACGACGATGTAGTGCTTGTTGAGGTTGAATTATCGGTACCACTGCCACCGCCACCTCCACCGCCGCCGCCGCCACTGCCGCTGCCACCACCAGGTGTCTGGCCACGACGCGTATCAAACGTCATTGTGGTAAAGCGTGTTCTGGCAGCTGGCACTTTACACTTTAAATTCTCTTACTTAACTACAGTTTAATATATCGAATGTTCCGAATATTATTAAACGGAATAAATAGATTCAAAAACGAAATCCAAATTTAATACAAAAAAAAAAAAAATTTTTTTCTTCTCTTCTTTTTTTTTTTTCTTTAATCCGGATGTGTTAAAAAAGTCTTATAGGTTAACAACTTCGAGTGTGTGTATGTGTATTTTGGAATTCTCTTCTATTTTAAGTTTCGCTCTATGCAAAAGTTATTATTGTTATCTGCTGTGTTTGTTTGCTTTCTCCTTTTTTTGTATTTTTTTTTTTTTTTTTTTTTTGTTAAAAGGAACAAAAAAGTTCCCTAACAGACGTTCTTACATATTCAACTGGCAAGTGCAAAAATCCGTAAACTGCAACAACAAAGAGAATAAAAAAAAATTTTTTTTTTTAAACGAAACAAAAAACATATGTACACGCATACGTTCATGTACTAAATATGTATGAACATATATATGTTTAAATTTACGTATATGTACGTATGCATGCACAAATCATAACTGAAGAGTATTATGTGAAGAGCAGCACCTAGAAAATAGTATTTCGCAATAAAAAATGTCAGTGAAAAAAGGGATAAAAACACATACACACACACACACTCTAACACACGGTGAAAGGTAGAAAACAAATCAGCCGCATACTGTAGTAACACACACAACATATAAACATGACACGCACAGACACCTATGACCGCTTATAAACATACATATATATGTATATATATGTATTTATATATATATGAATATAAATGAGAAAGAGAGCCACAAAAACATAAGAAATAGTGAAACCACTAAGAAATTATACGAAAAATCAATAAACTATCCATTGTTTGTTTCAATTTAATGAACTTTTGTAAAAAATTTTCAACTTTTGTACTATTTTCTTCTAAACTTTTAATAACAATTTTCATTTTTTCGCTTTCTAACCCATAAACGGTAATTTAAAAAAAAAAAAAGCATTATAGTTGTCCGAGTTTTCTTATAGTACAGATGAACGAATCACATAAATAAGATCCTTAAATTTTCAGAGAATTAAATTTAAAGATTGATTAACACAACGACGAAAATAAACATTTATAATAACGGAGAGAGCAGAAGAAGAGACTTTTTAATGACGAATTAAGAGTATTTAATATTAACACTTATTACAAATATAAAACTTTTTTTGCATTCTTTTGCATAAATTATAAAAAAAATCGTTTCACTTATTATGTTATGTTAATTTACAATACAATTTATATTAAAATTTAATGATAAAACACCGCTAAAAAAGAGATTTGCGAGAACACAAAAAGCTGCACCGCGAAAAACGATTTATTATCGATTTTCAAAGAGGGCAAGAAAAAAAAAGAAAAGTACTGCCGTCTAATAAAATTTGCATAATTCTTCAACTCACAACTCTGTAGATATATTCTTTTCTTTTTTTAAGTCTTTATTATTTCTCCTTATTATATTCTTTAACACAATATTAACAATTCTTTTCGTTTTTTTTTTTATTATTTATTTAAAAAGTTGTACAAAATTTTAACACGAACTAACAAATCTGCATTTTTCTTCTTTTTTACTCTTTATTTTTCTTTCATCTTTTTTTTTTGCTCTTTTCCGAGTATGCACTTTAATATTCTTTGCGTTCGGTGTTGCACACTTTATTCCTAAATCTCACTCATCATATTTTCTTTCTTTTTTCTTTTGCATGTATATTTTTTGCATCCGCCCAATTAGCCTTTTATTCTTTATTCTTATTGTTTTTCTATATTCTTCTCTCTGCTTTTTTGCTTCTTTTTTCTATTTTCTAATTTGACTTTAATTTTTTTCATGTTTCCTTTTTGTCATTTATTTGCTATTTTTTTAATTCCTGCAAATCTACTTTCTTAATTGATTTCTATTTTTTTTTTTAACTAAGGTTTTTGATATTGAATTGCATTTCATCTATAGGTATATATGAGACATGATTAAAAAAGAATTGTTAGTTAAGCCCTTTAATTATTTGATCGAAAATCAGCCGGCCAGCAGACAAAATGGCGACCTTTTTGCTCGTTTTATTTATTCGTTGGGAAGTTTTGCTTTTTTTTGCTTTTTTCTTTCTTTTTGACTTTTTTCTTCTAATACAAATTACTTATTTCATTCACCTTTTCTGCATTTATCCACACTTTGCGAATTCTTTAGTTTTGTAAATTTTTTACATTAACTTTTCTCTTTTTTTTGATACTTTCGTTGTGGTTTTCTAGGATTTCTGCTAACGCGTATTTAATAATTACTTTTATATTTATTTATTTATTTATATTCCTTCTTTTTTTTTTAGATTAATTATTCCCAAAAATCAGCCGTTTCCTTGCTAAGAAATATTTCATCGACACTTTTCGGGAATTTGCAAAAAAAAAAAAATTTTTTTTGTCTACGAATAATGTTGCCATACATTAAAGTTTATCATAATATTAGGAATGTGATTACCTCATCAAAATTTCAAAGTTGACACAATACATTTTCTTTTTAGAAAACGTGTAAACAAAATTAAATGCATTAAACTCAAGCACAATTTTTATTTTTATTGCTCTTCTTATCTTAAAAATTTTAAAATAACTTTTCCTTAGTTAATAATAAAATTTATTACAGTTTTCATAAAGTAATTAAAATTTTGTTTTTTAGTCAAAAATATTCATCAGAAATTTCAAAGTGAAAGTAATGACAACGTTACGAAGTATTCAAATAAAATCCTAATGCATAATTAATCTTAGATTTTTGAAATGATTACTACATGGCATCGCGGTAAACAATTTGTAAAACTATCTCACTAATAAATATCTTTTCTTCTACCTTGTTTATACAAATCTGAAGGCTTTGCAGATCCAAAAATGATTGTATGTATGTAGGCCTGTATATTACATATATAAAAACTGTAAGCACTATTTCAAGTTTTTTCTTATAATCTGCTATTTATATATATCTGCGAGTGGAAACAAGGCAACAGAAGTCTGAAAAATAGCAGGTTCTATTTTTTTTTTTTTTTGGTATGTTGAACAGAGATGGACTAAGCCAATAGATTTGTGGCTTATATGTCAAAATAGCAGGTTCTAAGATCCAACTTGAAATTGTGTACGTATATATACATATATTAAAAAAAATATATATACAAACACGTATATATATATATATATATAAATATTGTTATGTATTTGTTTACGTATGTATGTATGCATGTATTTGCTTACAGTCGGCCCTCCCTTAACACGGTACTCGTAAAGTATGGTTCCGATACATCATCGAAATTTGCGAATATTATAGCACAATTCCGATTCAACACGATTTGAAAACATCGATTATGTGTTGCTATCAATTGATTTTTTGCTTTTATATTTCAACAGACTATGAGAAAAAAATTTGGATAAGCTGTAATCTTTTTTTATAAAAATTAACTTGATATCCGTGACCACGTTGAGTTTTATTTTATGTTTTTTCTTAACGCTTTCATTTATATATACATTTGGAAGGATATTGCATAATAAAATTTTCATCAAAGAATTTTACACCCTTAAGGCTTGATTTGGATTCAACACGGTACACATTGCGTTGATTTGCATTATTTCAAGATATTTTATGAAACGGTTTGGATAGAAACGGTACACATTTTTTTTTTATTTATATTATATCTTAACTCGAATTATGTCGTTCCATATGATAATTTAGTTTAAATACAGAGATAAACAAATTTCATATAAAACGATACGAATAATTCGTGTTAAGCGAGGGACTCCTATATAAATTTAAGAAATAATAGAAGAAGGATATATATAGTATATATTCAGATGTACATCTGTCGGGGTAAGAATTAATTCAACACATCTGTTCACAACAACACAATGAACGTTAACGAACGAATATGCGAACATTTTATTGGTTAGTAGCGAAACTGGCCTCTTTCTAATAAAAGGAATTATAATAAAAAAAAATATATATATATATAAAAGAAAATCTTATTGATCCCTTTCAACGTCCAAAGGGGACTAAGTATTAATATTAACTTAGTCCTTTTTAAAATATATGCGTTTTGATAACGGCAACTCTGTACCAACTGCAACGCAACGCTGCCACATTTTTTAAAAGTTATAAACAAAATACAATGATTAACGTTGTCAACTAACTCAAATATATCGAAATTGTTTTTGTTTTGAATGTGTGTTAATGTGCATGATTTTGGACATAACAGACTAAAGGTATCACATAGGTGATCTTCCACTTTTCAAACAACAAATTGGTCTATTTTGTTTTTGTTATATTTAAGGCTGTGTAAAATTTTATATCCAATCACATTAATATTTATTTTAATCTGCTGCCTTCCCGGAAAATCTTTTAGTCCTATGCACCGTTAATTACTATTACTAATTAATAATAATACATAAATAAGCAGAAAACTTACGCAAAGTGAAAAACTTGTATTTATTGTGAGTGTTATTGATTGCGATTATAGTACCATTTTAATAATGTTTATAAATTAATGGCTGGTATGTAAAAACAGCTATATGAATGTTTATAAATCAATGGATGGTATGTAAAAAGAGCTGCATAATGTTTATAAATCAATTGGTGGTATGTAAAAACAGCTGCAAAATGTATACAAATCAATGGGTGGTATACGAATTCGAAATAAAAACAGCTGCTTGCAGCTTCCGTCTCATATATTTTGTAACATTTTCAATCCCCGGGTTTTATTTTTGACTCAATTATGAAAATGCATATAATAACAATTCCTTTCCATACATAGAACAATTATTTTCTGATTGGAAGAAATGTAATTTGTTTTTGATGACGAAAAGCGCTCATTTTTTGATATAATTTACATTCATATCTTTCTGAAAGTATTGAATAATTGCAAAATTTTCGTGGTGTAATAAGTATAGTATTTTATATTATAGTGATTATTCCAATAAGCGTTTCCGCATTTTGCTGCAACTGTTGTTGGGGATTTCCCCAAAAGCATATTTGTTGTTCTACGAATATATGAGCTTATCGCCTATCCCGTAATTATGCGTCATACTTGATCAAAGTAGCTTTTCTGTTTTTGTGCTGAATGATATCCTACGTAGATGAATACGTTATGTACATAATATTATTGCAACAACGGAAAGCAACTCAAATAGAAAAAATAAAATAAGAAAATTACGGCAATCGACAATGTACGCCAACGAAAGGGATTTTGGACACAAACCAAGCAGTAATGTATTAATGAAATAAAATCTGGTACGAATGGAACACTTGAAGTTGTCAAACCTTAGCATTGATAGCTCCAACAAAAGAATGAGAACAAAAATTCGTAACAATCGAAAGGGAAAGTAAAAATTTATTCTCTGAGCTAAAACTGTGCGCAATTTATTGTTAGTAAACAAGAAAAAATTAATACAAGTAGGACTATAATAGTCGAACAAAGACAACTAGTAGATACCCTACACTACTTTGCATATTGCTGTTATTCTCTCGTTTTGATAATAATACACCACAAGTTACGCATTATTTTCATGAATTCCCGCATATTGGAGCAATCCTTATATGGTGTGTTATGTAAAAAATAGGTCTAGATGGTAAAGTTAGGTCTAGTTCGCTAAAATTGATTTATATGTTAACCTACTATTATGAATTAATTTTCGACATGAAATGTTGAAAATAGAATTTTTTACTTAATAAAGGTTCAGTTTTCAACAGACACACAAATGGACGACGCATCATTTTTTGAATCGATCGGCACAAAAACAAAAGCTGGGTATATCTTGAGCACTTCCGCGTGCTACTTACGTCCGCACAAACTTAACATAACCTGTACCACAAATGTTGAGCCCTACGTACTATATTTGTCCCGTTTTATTAAAAGTTTATCAGTTTGAACTTAAAATGCATGAAAAATGTTGGTCAATTTTCTTTTTGCTTTATGATAAAATCGAATAGAATTAGAATTCTATGTTTATAACAAATGTTTGAACGTTGGCAACTCTCTCATATAAAGAAAAATCAAAAAAAGAGAAAAGCAAAACGACTTACATACGTGTACGTTGAAGCAATTTTTTTCAACATTTATTTGGAATATTTTGGTATTGAAAATCGACTAAGTGAAATAGAGCGAAAATATATTCATTTTAGTGTATCATAATTTCATAATGCAAAACAATTAAATTCTAGTCTTGAAGAAATATTTCTAAACATTCTGCAAGAGAAGAGAACCTTTCTGGGAGGTGACACCAGAAAAAAAAATTCATTTTACTTTTAGTTTTTGTCTTTCTTCTTACGGACGAGAAAGAAAAAAAAAGAATAATAATAATAAAGAGAACAGTTATCTATTAATGCTGAGAATCGTATAAATTTATATTGCATATTGGAATTTCCGAATTCGATACGATAGAATTAAATCAAGTGTTAAAAGTAAAAGTGAAGACAAAATTAATATCTTTTTGGAGACAATCAGCCATTTGGCTGGGTGTGTGACTAGTAACGTCAACATGCAAGTCTTACTTTCTACCATATGTTTAATGCTGACCAGTGCGGTCATTGGAAATGCTTGGTATCAAAAAAAACAATTCTATCCGGCCGTTGTGTACATTACAAAATCGAATGCATCCATGGCCGTAATATATATACAATTTTTTGCAATTGTTTTCATGTTTGGAAAGTTATTGCGCAAGGTAAGAGCTTTGTTTTTCCTTTTTTTGTTTTTCATATTAAATTTTTATTTATTTATTTATTCAACATGTTCAACAGATATTTTTGGGAACATTACGTGCCGCCGAATTTGAGCACTTATTAGAACGCTTTTGGTATGCACTGACCGAAACTTGTTTGGCATTCACCGTATTTCGCGATGATTTCAATCCTCGTTTTGTTGCCTTGTTCACAGTTCTATTATTTCTCAAATCATTCCATTGGTTAGCCGAAGAGCGAGTGGATTACGTGAGTATCTTTAAAATGCTTAATTAGTAGTAGCGCTTTGCATATATGATTTTGACTTAAATTCTTATTAATTTATGTAACAAGTTTCATTAGATTATGAGAAAATATTCATCTGTCTGGCAGATGTTTTGCCTCTGTCTCTTTACGTATGCAAAGCTATATATGTGTGTCAGTTTACATATATCATAATTGCAAATTATTTTCATATTATACATACTTTTAATTTGTTTAGCAATAGGTACTATATATATACTAAAAGGGAAATGCATAAATTTATTGACATCAATTCAATATCAAATTAATGCGCGTAAAGTCGCTGTTGAGATAAGTTAAATTTTAGGAAACAACTTTCAATGATCTTTCAAGCAGAATTTACCGCTTGCAAATATTGCACTTGATAGTTTTCATTATGTTTCATTTGCAGTATGTAGCGAAAAGTAACATGAACATCCAAAATTCCAATCCATTAGCGAAAAAGATATCGTATATATTAGTATATGTGTGTATGTGTATGTGTGCTACGGCATACGTGGAGCTAAGAAGCTATATTTCAATTTTCATTGCAATTATAGATGGCCAAGCGAATATAATCCATTAAGTCGATCATGACCGTCGAATATATAGGTGATCAACAATATATGCACCTGCTGAACATTTCTGAGTACTGTGCACATAAGTTTTTTTTCGCAAGTATAAAAATAGGTTAGACATTTTGTTGGAAATTATCTTAAGCCCATAATTATTATTTTACCTTTTCTATTTATTCTATTTAAAGAGACGTTATCTTGTATAAATGAAGAGGAAAGCGTGACACCTATCTGTGGGGATATATATATATACATATATATATATATAAAAAGAAAATTATTTAAATTATAAAAATATTTCGAAATATTCGTATGCCACCCTTCAGTAGTTCGTTAAATTTAAATGTACGATCCACAAGTACATTACGTCTTCAAGACAACGTGTCTTCATGCATGGAAATTTTTGCCTGTAGTAAATATCAATAGTCAATTCCGAATGTCCGTAGGTATTCTTTAACAACTCTTTTAACCAACTTAAGCTGTATGCTTCAATTTAAGATATCAGGCTACAATCGACGTGATATTCACTGGGAGGATTCCATTTCGTTCAGTATTATATGTCCTTTTATATTGAATGATTGTAAAATAGCTGGTCAATAGTAAGAAGAGATTAATAATTTAATTCCTGCAATCCCATTGAATTGTATTGTAAGCATCGTAGTGGTAAAGGACACTCAGTATTATTACCACAATTAACCAAATTCATAATACCAAGTTAGTTTATCGTATTTTTCGAATTACAAGACGCACCTTTTTACACAGAAAAGTGGGCTCAAGTTTTGGGTGCGTCTTATGGTCCGAAGGTAATAGATGGGACTGAAGATGGTGCAGTTCAAATGAAAGTAATACGAACGGTGGAATTGACAAGATGACTGATAGTAACGGAAGCAAGGATGAACTGAATATTGCTGGTACGAGTTATGTCAACAATAAATAAAAATTTTGATCCGAAAGTGACATTAAAATATACTGTTCGTCTGACGCGTCTAATAGTCCGAAAATGACTGTATCCTTTTAAATAAGTTGATAAATAAAACTTACTATCATAATTTATCTCTTTTTCAGATGGAACGTTCTCCTGTCTTGGGTTGGCTTTTCCATATACGTGTTGCCAGTTTACTAATGATCTTAGGATCAGTGGACTATTTGCTTTTAATGCATGCATATAATTCAACTTTAGTGCGTGGTCCAACCGTGCAATTAGTCTTTGGTTTTGAATATGCAATACTATTGACAGTGGTAGCGAGTACGGCCATAAAATATGTTTTGCATGCAACCGAAATGCGTACCGATACACCATGGGAAAATAAAGCTGTATTCCTTTTGTATACCGAATTGTTTATTGGTTTTATAAAAGTAATTCTTTATGTGTTCTTTGTCGTCATTATGGCGAAATTCTACGCTTTGCCGATGTTTGTTTTCCGGCCTATGTTCTTTACAATACGCAATTTCAAGAAAGCTTTAAGCGATGTGGTCATGTCAAGAAGAGCAATAAGAAATATGAATACATTATATCCGGACGCGACACCCGAGGAATTACGCTTATCGGATAATATTTGCATTATATGCAGGTTTGTGAGAAAAATAATTTGGAAAGTAAAAATTTCTTCTTTTTTAATAGCTTCATTTTCGTAGAGAGGATATGATTAATCATTCCAAGAAATTACCGTGCGGCCATATATTTCATACGACATGCTTGCGTTCATGGTTTCAGCGACAGCAAACGTGCCCCACTTGTCGTTTAAATATATTGCGTGCTCCTGCAACAAATTCTACAGCTTTGCCAAGACAAGATGATAACAACGCAGCTAATAATGTTGGAGCTGCAGCTGCTGCTAGTCCGGCTAATCAGACAATAAACAACGCAACAAATGTGCAAATGGCTAATAACAATTTTTCAACAGCTACAACTGCAGATAATGCTAATAATACTACTTCGAATCCCTTTGAACAATTGATTACAAACGGTAGGAGGTGCTTACATGTTTATATTATATTCGAATTATTCGGGATTACGTTTTAGCTTCAATGTTGCCGCCGCCACCCTTTATGATGCCACCACCATTTCCCTTTGTTGCGCCATATGCGGTGCCGCCACCGCCAATGCCACCCGACTTAACACAATTTACCGATGAGGAGCTGAAAGCTTTAGAAGGCAATGAACGAAAACATATTGAGGAGCGTATTAAGGTACCAAAGAGTTTATGTCAATTTTATGAGTTTTATATACACCAACGGGAGACTGTAGCATAATGTATTGGGTCTTTGCAAAAATTTTGATCAATTTTTCACTTGTGGAAATATCAGTGCACATAACGGGTGTCTCCATCATTTTCGACAATATGGCAACACGTCGAGAGTACTTATTTACCCAACGACCCGTTTTCGCACTTCTTCAACTTTGAGGTGTCGCGTGCCAATCAAGCCATGCTGCATCGCTCTGAACAATTGGTGAACAGAAGGCGCCATGCTTGGTGATTACACTGGACGTGACAGAATTGCCCACTCGAGCTGCAAGTGTATTCTTGCCAACTTTTGCAATCAATGGTTAAAAAGTGGCATTTTCAGTCCGAGGCCCTGTGCATGTTTGCTGGGCCTCGGCAGCAGATTTCTTCCAATAAACAACAAATGTAATAATTTTGGAAAAAGAATGATTTCGAGCGTTCCATAATTAGCTTTGGCATATGCTGAATAAATCAATAATATTAAATGGAAAAGTGTTATTTTGTGTAGACGAAGTTCGCAACCATCGAATTCAACCGTTTTGTGCGCTGATTTTTCAAATTTCTTTATAATTTTTATCAGCGAATGTCGCTGATCAAAATTTTTGCAACCACTTAATACTATAGTATACATGTATTTCTGATCAGATCATTATCGTGAATGAACATCTGCGTGTCGTATGTTGATATAGCTTTTGTGATACCAAAACTTCAACTAAAGAAGAAAGTTGACCCTAAACTTTTTATCAGCTTAACTGAGATAATTAGCGAAACTGTTGCATCATTGGTCCGCCCCAATTTCGAAATAATGTAATTTTCCTTTTTAATGTTAAGATTGAAATCTTTATCTAAATCTTAAAAATTTCATTTAATGTTTTAGATAAGATTCCTGATTTCCTTTCACCTTCATTTTAAGCCCTGAAGTCGGCAAATGTCGCATCATACATTTTTTCACAACTACCATTGGACATGTTCATGGTTCAGCATTTTAAAATGACTTTTCAATTTTTTTATGATAAAATCTCCCTACCTACGGTAAGATGGAAGTTAGCTAATGCAGGGCAATGGTCAGCTACATTTATTCGAAATACGTACATATATATATACTTCGGTTTTTAAATATAGTTCTTACTTTGTGCATTTACCTATAAAGTACTGTAAAATCGCATGAAATATACGTACGATATACGCGACATGATCTAAGATCGATATATAGAATGAATTGATATACATTCTTTCTTGCAGTCAAACATCATATCCGAAAACCAATTTGTGGTTATTAATATTTTTGACTTGAGCCGAATACAACTCTGTCTTGGTTTATTTTAAGAATTATAAATATTTTTTTAAATTTTATAGCTTTTACGCAACATACAGTTAATGCTTGATGCAGCTGGCATTTTAATGAATAATTATCAAATAGTAGCCTCGCGGGCGCAAATTTCCGATGCAAATAAAACTAAAAGCAATACTGAAGCCAATACTAGTACCGCGAATAGCAATGAGAAGCCGAGCACTTCATCAACAGCAACGAGGGAGACGGACGCAACTGCTAAGACGACTAAGACGCCTGCAAATGTGTCGCAAAACTCTGAAGACTTGCACTTAAAGACTGCTTCTGTGGGAACCATAGTGGAAGAGTTACAAACTCATCCGAGCAGTTCAAATTTATCAACAATTGATACGAATAGTGAGACCAAGCATAACCAAGTTACCATAGAAGATTTGGGCGGAGAGGAGCAATTGGATTATGCCGCCACGTCAGCATCGTCGGCATTGTCGTCGGGGACAACGGCAGATAGCGGTACGGCGGAGCACATAAATGAGTTGCGTAAAAGACGTTTAAAATTCTTGGAAGAACGTAATAAAACTGCGTCTACGGAATAAGATGTTAAATTCTGATTTTACTTTTACTCTCTATCACGGGGTGGACTGAGTGTGATTATTAACTTTTTACATACAAGTTTCTTGTTAATTTTTTAATGCAGTTACGTTTTATATTCTCCTCTAAATTAAGTTTCTCCCTCTCTCTCGCTTCATTCTTCTCGTATAAATCTTTTTTGTGAAATTTTGTGCTTCTTCCGCTTTCATTAGTTTCTAATACATGTTATCATGTACTATTATTATTATTATTTCTTTTTTTTACGTATATCTTAATCAATAAAATATGTATTTATATGTTTTCAAAGCAAAAAAAAAAAAAAAATCAAATGTGCAAAAAAGACAAAATTTATAAAAATTTTGCAAAAATCCGAAGCGGGCAAAAACTGGATACGTGTAGCAAAAGAAATATATAATACTGTGTACAGAATAAGATAAAGATTGGTTTTGAATAATGAGAAATTAAATATAAAATCTGTATTAAATAGAATTTATAAATAAAAACACTGATATATTTAGAATTTAAATAAAGGTGAAAAATAACAAGTACCAAACTTATCTTAAATACTATCTACTGAAATGACATATGCCCTTTAAGGCGTTGGAATGATTTCTAACGTAGTGTAATATTTTCACATTTTATTTCAAAATATTAATTTAGTTCGAACGAGCTTCAGCATCCCTAAATTCAGCCGGATCAGTAAAACGAACAGTTAATATATAGAAAATTGACGGAAACGGCACTAAGGATAGTAAAGCATAATGATGACCTAATGAGATAATACCATACGCCAATAAAAGCCATTGAACCACTGAAAATATATTAAATGAAATATTATTTTAGAAAAAAAAAAACAAGTAAGAAAGTTACATTCAGCGGGAGCCGAATCTCGCATACCCACCACTACGCTTTTTGCATTCTACTCTCCAAATTCTTTTATTTGATACCCATATCGCGGGTATTATTAAGAAACAATTAATCGCGGTATATACCATATTCATTTTAAAATTAAACCCTCATTTAGGCAGATAATACATTTTCATTTAAGGAGTGCACAAAATAATTTTAAACATTTGGTCTTGTTTTGCTTATGATAAATAAGCATAAAACCTCGGAAAAAATGAGAAAAATAGAATTTAATCGCTTGTAATTTTGTGTGGGCGTGGCCGATTTTTTCAATTTTTGCACGTAAAGTGAATGTAGAAACTTCCAGCATTCTAACTTTAATAATTCCCGAGAAGCGAGCAAAAACCCACAAACTTTTGTTAAAAAAATCGGAGTTACGCTCAATTTACGAACCACTTCGCGCTTCCGGTTCGACTAATTTGGCCCATTTTCAATACTAACCTGCGTGCAGAAACTTCCAATGTTTCTACCAAATTTTGAGTGCATGTCTTTTTGCGACCAAGAGAAAGCCAACCACACATAGACGGACAGATATTGTCAAATCCACTCAGAAATTCACACTGATTAAAAATATAAATAATTTATAGGGTCTCTGAAGCTTTCTTTTGGGTGTTGCATACATTATGGAAACAGAATAAAATGAATACACGCCCATCTTACAGTGGTGGGTATAAAAAAGAGAAACTTACAAATAATAACAAAATTTTTAATTTCCATAAGCGAGGAACGCACTAACGCCTTAAAGGACTGATCTAATTTCATTGAATAGTGTATAGCATTCGAGATCATTGACATGGCTATGCTTAAATAGGGAAAAGAGTAAACTGCAATAACGAAAACAAATCGTATTTAAAGCAATTGTGTCTTCAATGTGTTTTAGAAAAGTGTTCTTACAAATGAGACCGCAAGCTAGGGCATGAAGAAACGTTAACAGCGGTAGAAAATGTAGAGCTGCATATATAGGAGCTTTGCCTCGTATTTTGCATGCCGTGCTAACCAAAGGACGTATGACACACATATTGATCAGGCAAAGAAAATAAAAAACCAAAACTATAGTTTGCCTGTAAAGAATTAAAAAAAAAAAATATACTTCAACGAAAGTAAAATTTTTTTTTTGAACTTACAATGGGTAAACCGCTTCCTGAGTGCAATGTAATAATTTCTCATAATTTGGTGTTGGATTGTAGAATAAAGTATACCAATCGCTAAATTTATTCACTGGGCATGCATATAAACGAAATTGACCCATAGGTTCCATTAATAGTATAGAAAATAAAGCTGCAATAATTGTCTCCGCTAGGGCGCATGAAGTCAATATTAATTGTTTACGTGAAAACCTTAAGAAAATCCTCAAATAAATATAAAGAGATATTTCGTAGAATTCGTGGTCCGTACTGAGATACTTACTTTCTATCTTTAGCATCCAAATCTATAAAAAAGCAATGCATCATTAAAGGTAACATTGCCATGAAACCTAAATAAAACCAAGAATAAGCGTCCAAGTCATCTTTACATCTTGTGCATTCATATGATTCGATTACACGAAAACCTCTCGGGCAAGCGCCACATTCACTCCACGTATTATTTTCTAAACGTTGACGTCCACAATATAATCCAGGACATCGTTGCAGCGTTGCTGACATATTATTATAAAGATGTCAACATTAGCAAAAGAAATTTCGAAATTTGGTGGATTAGGCCTGTTATGACCTAAATATCCAACAAATTGGTTAACTATTGATATAAATTATTCTTGTTTTATTTATTGTTTATAGTTGATAGCAGGAGTAGGAGCAGTTAAGATGACCTTCAGCAAAAATTGGCGATGTAGGTCTTCTTTATTCGACGGCAAAGTTAAAAAGATAGTTAAGTTATTATCAGCAAATTGAAGACAGGCTTCGGCTGCATTTGCGTATGGGAGAATAAACACAAATAAGAGATAAAAAGCAATCAAAATGAACTAAAAGGAAAAACCAACAGATTTGATAAAAGAAGTCAGCTGTTTAAGGTGAACATAGTTGCCAGCACGAAGAGGTTCATAAAGGTGGTTGTGCATGCTGAAAATATGTAAAGGCTATCTAGTAATGTCAATTTTTTACATTCAAAAATCAGCTGCTCCGTTGATTTCACTGGATTGTACTCATCACAAGCTACAGATATCACTTTTAAGCACATGTAATTGCTCGTGAGTCTTTGAGTATTTGTATATGTGATTGCTTGGAGTATTTTAATTTAAGGAATGAATCTTATAAAAAAGGCGGTTACATTGTGCCCGCTCTATTTCATGATATTCATCTTTTCATTCTTACATGATATTTTTCCAAATTAGGCGAAGAGCATCACTAGGAGAATATTTGATAGGAAGGGTTGCAAAGCCTAATCAAGCTTCCCCCGCCCGTGCATATCAGCCTTTCCATTTAAATTAAAACCACTGCGACAATTACCAATGATAGGGTTATATAAACTATCGTAGATCTCAAAAACATACATGTTACACGGATCTTTATTCTTCAAAGTCGATGTGCTGTCAGAAAAGATAACGAATTTCTTGGCCAGAAAAGTAGTCTGTCAAGTAGTTCAATAAAGGAAGAAAAAAAAGCTAACTCGGGCGAACTTCGTGTTCTTAAAAGAGCATATCTCTTAAAGGAACTGTTAAGAGCGATGATGTTAGATAGTGTGGAATGGAAAAATGGAATCCCCAACAGTTACGCAAGCTGCTACCAAAGATTTTGTCACACATTTTCAACAAAATCAATTTTTGTGGAGACCACCGCATGTAAGGATTCTCGATTTATTCCCAAAAGGCTTAATTCCTAATTGCTTTTATGATGAAAATTAGTCGATAGTAGCAATTTAGCAAAAAAATTAAGAACAGTGTCTATTTTTTAGACTCCATCATTTATAGCGGTTACCGTAACAAACAATCCCTTACTAAAAAATAATAAAGATATTAGGAATTAAATTAAGTTTACTAAATTTGGATCACGTCATATAATAGTTTAAGCTTAATATTTTAGGCATTGGCGAATATGCGGGTTTTCAATAAAACTATGCCTTTGCATGAAAATAATGTGTGGTGTTTGGGGTATTATTACCAAAAGGCGAAGGTGAATAGGGTATCTAATTGTCGACCTTCCTCAACTACAAAATCGTTGCAAATCACTCACGTCAAGTTTTTTCAATGGGAAAAGACCGCGAACGGTAATTTACAAGAATATAAAAAATGTAATCAAACTTTGTACGTATTATATAGAAGCGGATTTCGTAAATCGCTCATCACATCTTTGACTCTTTTTAACATCGAATACGAATATGGATATTTTTCTAAGGTAAGTTTATAAGAATTTTTTTTATTTGTTTTTGAAAATTTACTTATTGTGAAATCGAATGTTAGTTACGTGGATATAGAGCTAAACTCTGCAAATCCCACCATAATAATAAGAAGCCCATGTTCACATTCGTATATTAAGTCTATTACTTTAGCATAGTTCACTGATTTAGACTTAAAATTCCTCCTCAAAGTCTTTTAATCATCCTCTTCAAATTCATCCGATTTCGAATCGCCTTCTTTAACACGATGCCTATCGTTAAAGTGTTCGGATAATTTTGCTAAAGCGCTCACTAGTGTAGGCGACGATTGATTCGCAAAATAATCCAATATATAACGTCTGACGTGTTCGGATTTAAGCTAAATTGAAAAATGTGAGAAAATTATATTTTAAATCAATTACAATTTGTTGGCCTACTTACACTAACGTCTTCATACGTTACGCCAGAATGTCGATGGCTGACAGTTACATCGGCCATTATACCATGGAAATTGGCCATATTGTCAAGACATTTATCAATCACATTTTCGTAAAGTAGTAACATTTTTTCCGAATGCTGACAAAGATAATTTAATTGAAATTTACCATTTGGTAAACGAAATCTCTCGATTAATTTGTGATTTTGATTGAAAAAGCTGCAATAAAAAATAAAAAGTTGAGAATAGATTTCACTTTTGTTTGCACGACAAATCTCGTACGCGAGAAATATTTGCATTGAATGATATTTAAAACGTTTTTTAAATAAACGCCAAATATTTTGTAAAGCCACAATTTCCAGCGGCGTAAAGCCCATTTCATTGCAAACATTCTCAAGGTTTAGTGGTGGCAACGGTTTCGGATATTCGATACCACTATCAATCATATTTAAATTTGCACAAAAATTTTTTTTTTTTGAAAATTTTAAATTTCCGATTTTCTTCACCCTATTGGCAAAATTTCGTTTAATTTTTCAAACACATGCAAGGATTTTTCGCATTCTAATTCCCGTTGCTTCAATAATATTACGAAAAATATTTCAATATTTATATAAAACCAAAAAAAAAAAAAAAATTTTTTTTAAATTAAAGCGGAAAGGAAAAATTAAATCGTTTAGATTTGAATGTTCATAGTTAGTATTGATTCATTTTTCTTCTTCTTCTTCTGGAATTAGGCAAAAAAACTAAAATTAATATCTCTATTACATTTTTAGAATAATGCTTCTTTTTCTGTGAGGAATTGAATCAACGATCGACGATTCGAAATCGTTTTTCTCGAAACAATTTTATCAATTTTATGACATTCAAGCATTTGCTTGGAATTTTTGAATCCGTCAATCAAATTTCCTATTATTTCGATAGGGTTGTCGAAAATGTGGAAAATTTGAAACAAAATTTATATTCGCATATAGGTAAAATCTTTGATACTTACCACATCAAAGCACCGCATTTGAGCGTATTCTATAAAAAATATTTTCTTATCTAGAATGCTTCGAATTACAAATTTTTTCACCCACCAACGAAGGATGGGGGTATACTCACTTTATCGTCACCTCCATCTTCATTGCTTTGAAGCCACATGCAATGTCTGACGTTATAAAGTAGTCACCAAACAGTGTTTCTGCAGATAGCCTCACATTCATATAGGATATGATAGTCCCTTGGTAGAATCTGCTTGAATCGATCTCGACGATACCCGCGCTTTTCAAGTAAAACATGAGGGTATTATCGTTCTTGTAGAGGCCGGTGACCAATCGTTGCGGCTGTGCTGCGGTTTGCTTCCAATGGTAAACCGATGTTTTCTGCTCGTTGTCGTATCAGCCTATTAATGTGGCTTTTTGCTACGCCGCAGAAAAGGTTCTGAACCTATCATGACCCCTCTTGGAAGCTGCTACAGGCAGGTTGGTATTGAAAGCGGACCATGTCAAAAGACGCACAAAAATGGAAAAAATCGGCCAGTGCTTTTCAATATTATCCGTTATCGAAATTTCATCGTTTCCAGTTTTTTTTAAGACAAAATTTAAGGCGAATCTAACATTCTAACTTTGGTTTTTTTTTGTTTTTTTTGGTAAAGGCTTTGGGTAAAAAGGGTAGGTCACAACTGAATATAATTTTCTTATTTGTTATATCTTACACAATTTGTGAAACAATTGTATACTAAGGTCACGTGGATGTATATAATATCCAGAAGGACTTAATTGTCTTTGTGTCTTTTATTATTGTGTTTAACCTACAGGTGACACAGGTGTAGATATTTTGATGAAATTTGCACACCGACATCTTCTGGCACCAGGAGGAAGTGAGCTGTTGAGAACAATTCAGATCGACCAATTTTTTTGATCACTTCCCTTTTAGCGCCTAACATTGAAAGGTCTTTATATAGTTAATTATATTAAGCGAAGCGGTATATGATGCGGGGGTTACCCTACCCACTATAGTGTTTTTACTTGTCATACTCTGCAAGAATTTTGCATGTATTGTGCCGCTTTAGAGAATAAACGCATACTCGTTCTCAATCATTCAACAGGTCTTTGCAAAAAAGGCATCGATGCGAGATGCGATTAAGGTTGTATGTGCATTTTCACAGAGATGTATCAACACAACGTTTAGTTTTCTATTCAGTCTCGCACCAGTTCTTATGCAGAATGGATGTGTTGACGCACTCTTTTTGAAATTGTAACAATGCATTAAGTACGGCTGTATGTGCGTTTACACACTTGCGGCACGGGCGTATATTAAATTTGCAACATTAAGTAGGATGTGAGACATGCCCACCTTTTATTTTATCGATTAATTTGAAATCACTTTCATGATAGATTCAAGCTGGTCTGTCCATGCTTCCTTCGAGTTTTCTTGTGATTAACATACAGATTTTATCCTAAGGAAGAACAGAACTATTGAAAGGTATTCTTTCTTTTTACTTTCCATAAAAAGCTTTATTTTATAAAGTTGTTACATGAATAACTACAGGGCATATAATGATGGGCCGTGTCATCATATATTATTATCACTTCTTTTTAATATAAATTTAGAAAAATCATCTTTCTTTTACTGAAGGGGTGTGTTACCATTTGAATGGAATGTTCAATAGTTTTCGCTTTGTTTCACATTTTAATCTCATTAACCCATTCACATCATCTGAGAACAGAGTAGTCTGTAATTCGTAAACGTTGCGTATCACCAAGGGCGAAATGATCCGCAAAGAAATACTATTTCTTATCACGAACTTCAGATTGAGTCGGATTTTTTAAGCACATCCGGTGTTAATTCCAACCGGTATAGAAGCAATTATGGTGTTTGCAGTCTTCTTCTAAGTTTAGTAAATACTCATAATTAAAACCCCGTTATTGAAGTGATTAATTTAATAAAACTAAGAGTTCGTAAGGGTTCGTAATATTAACATCTTGCAATGCATCCGTCCATCGGTCTTCGCCATTTTCCATCATCAAAGAGCAATGACTTATAAGGTAGTAGAATACCGCTAATCGGTTTTTTTTTTTTTTTGTTATAATTCTCTCTCTTAAATGAGAGTTTTAGTAATTAAAAGAAAAGAAAATGGTTATAAAAAGAGAAATATAAACCCAAAATCCATTAGTATCATATAAGTATGGGTTTTGCAGTTTGCAGTTTCCATTATCACACTTTGACAGATTTAGACACGAAGCAACATAGCATGGCGAACATAGATTTCGTTTCAAAGCATAAAACAAGGAGAGTCAATAAAGAAAAGTTGAGTAAGTTGTGTAGTGAGTGAGTTTTTAATAAACAAGGAACAGGGTTAGTGTAATGAGCAGCGTCCGCGATCATAAAAACGAATAAGAAAAAACATGTGAATATAATTGAAAATTGATACTTATATGTCATATATATGTGAAGTGAAGAATAAAAACACACAATCAAAACTCTTAAATGTAAGGAGAACACGTGACAAATACATTTATGAAAATGACTATTATTCTTGTAAAAATTCAACCCAGAAAACAACGGTTAAAAAGGAAACTAGTGTTGATATGCAACTTAAATCTAAGGACAACAGGTGATAAATAGACCTATGACAATGAAGCTTACAAAAAACACGTTAAAATAACTTATCAAAACCAAGTGTCAATACAACATCAATTAAGTTAATAAAACTTGTGTTCTGAAATACGAAGAATGCTTCCATATTTTAAGATGGCAATAACAATGTCAATGGACACACGTTAGAGCGCTACTATTAACCAACATACGTCATCAACAACAATAACCTAGAAAAGTGTATTCTTGATTTTCCCTTTTTTCTCTTTACACTTGTATACGTGCTTGCACGTATTTTAGTCAGCTCCATCTATCGTTGAAAATGATGAAACAACACGAAGTATCAGTGTACGCAACGATTAAATTCGATGATTTTGACCTTTCTGTACATAAAATAACAGCTTTCGTTATAGCTTTACTGGATTGTTGAGTGTATGCAGACGCTAATCATGGAAAGCTCAAAATCGCATTCTCGACATTCTAGTTTGATTTGAAGAAATCTGCTGTCGAAGCCCACCAAACACTTTCAGAAGCTTACGGTGACACTGTTCCATCATATCCCAATTGCGGGTTTTAAAGTAGTGATTTTGGCTTGGGCGACCAATAAATGGGAAGACAATGCACTCAAACTCCCACACAACCGTCGAAAAGCTTAGCAGGTGATGAATCATATGTTTTCTAGCAGCTCCACATGCGATGGAAAAGATCCAAAAGAAGAGAATATGGCTATCTGACATTGGCATTTCGAACCGTTTCAACATCACGGATTCGTTGCTTACCAGGCCAAAAAAGAAAAGTTTTCTGTGGCGTATTGCGAGAATATCAAGCGCAAAAAGTCTTGGGTCATTTTAGGAGAATCATCCAAGTCTTTATCGAAGCGGAATATTCGTGCTGATGAAGTTTTGCTGAGCATATGGTGGGATTAGCAGGGTGAGGTGCATTACAAACTGCTAAAACCGAATAAAAATTGCTATTACGAATGTCTGCCGTCGTCAATTGACCAAATTGAACGATGTATTATTGCAGAAGCGATGAGCAATAGCGATTAGCAGATACAAGATCATCCTCTTGCATCACAACGCTCGGCTACACTATGCAAAAGTTGTCAAGGACACACTGTTGCAGCTCGAATGGGAAGTTTAGCCGCACCCAGCCTCCTTACCAGACATAGCACCTTCCAATTACCACTTGTTTAGCTCGATGCAGCATAGCTTGACTGTTACGCGGTTTCGAAATGTTGAAGAAGTGCGAAAATAGATGGATGATTGAATCCAAAACCGTATCGTTCTTTCGATATTGCGAATTAATTTGTAGAAAATGAGGGGAAATATTTTGATTAATATTTGCGTTTTTCAAGTGAAAAAATAATCAGAATGCGTACGAGCACCTATTTTTATTCTTTTTTTTTGTACAAGAATGTACAACAACAATAAAGCTTGTTTTTTTTATTTCCACCTAAAAGTGCAGTGTAGAGTAAAGAAAAATATCGAGCGAATATCGAATATTAAAAATAAAACATATAATGAAAATGGTGTAGAGTTGTATGATAAGTGGCTTTACGGATTAACAAGCGATGATTTGAAACAAACAGAACATACGACAAATCAACGGACGAACGCAAAGTAAAGCAGCCCAAACACATTCTTCGGGTCCAATAAGCACACACATACATAATAATTATTTTTGGTTTCCCTTATACTTTTTTCTGGACTGAGCTAGTCAGAGTAAGACAAAAAAAAAATGCTCTATTCTACATTGTAGTTCTGCATTGTAGTTAATAAATAATCCACATGAGTAGCCGCGTAGGCAAAAGATCACGACTAGTAGTAGCTCAACGGTCGCAGGTTCAAACCTCCAGTCGAGTTTTCAATACAGCCGATCTGATTTATCCAGCGGGCGATCTGGTAATCCGTACTCTGTAAATTTGTTTACAACATATTGCATATTGAGCTCTCGATTAGCAAAGCTAGGTCCGCGCTTGGTTTTATAAAAAGGTGGTCCAAAGAGCTTGATGATCCCTACATTACGAAAAGGCTGTATGCCTCAGTTGTGTGGTCTTCTTCATATAGGTGCTACGTAGATTCAATTGAATCTGTTCAAAAGCAATTCTTGCTGTTTGCCCTTAGAAATTTGGGTTGGGATCCGATTGCCTCTCTTCCTCCGTATGAAAATAGGTTGCTTCTGCTGTCCCTGCCGTCTCGTGAGAAACGTAGATTTGTTCTTGGCGTTTCCTTTCTAATTAAAGTAATAAATGGTGCCATTGACTCGCCTTCATTACTTGGTGAAATAAGCTTTAATGTCCCTAACCGCTTCTCTAGGCACTTTATCTTGGTTAAGCTTAATCAGTGTAAATTTAATTATGAGCTGTTCAATCCGCTCAGAGTCGTTTGCAAGAACCTAAATGACGTCTACCACTTATTCTCGTTATCGGACTCTTTAAAGTCCATTAAAGCAACATTGCTTAATACGCGCGATTTACCTATGTCGTATTTAAACTTAGCTTTTATCCTTAAAAAGTCGTTACGTTTCGAAAGTGAATTATTGTCAATTTATTATCGGTTGTCAGGCTTATGCATGTTTGCGATGGCTTAGGAGTTCATTTGCAATTTGGTCCTGTACCGGTTGTAAGTGTGCTCCTATGCTGATAGTGTAAATGCTTTTTTTTCTTTTTTTTTTTCTTCTTATTTGTTTTGTTATGCTTATACTCAATTTTATTGTTAATTAATATTAGTTTTGCATTAAGAGCCTATTGAACTCGACCGTTATTTGTTTAGTTGAGTTTCTAGTATAAGTGGAATAAATAAAAAATAAATAAATAAACATATATATATATATATACCTATACAATGCATAAACAAATAAATGGTCTACGTTTTGAAAATTAATTAATTCTGTATACTTTTTTTTTAGATTTCTTTTATTTATTTAGATATGTGGCGATTTGAAATAAATTCTTGAAATTCGCGACGACCATACGTATATAATAGTGTTTCCTGATAGGTATTTGGATATATTCGCTCGACATTTTTCGAACTTGAATAAATTAAATGACATACATTTGTTGTGATATTTTCGCCGGTGTTTGCTTCAATGATTGCATTAACTGTCATCACAATCATAAAATTCTCCTCAACATAAATAATATAAGAAAACATTTTCAAAATTGATCGAATCGGTATAGGTTTATCAAAACTTATTGCCGATATATGTTCAAGAATTGGACGCTCGCGACAATATTGATAAGCAGCTGCAAAACTAATTTCAACGCAATTACGCATAATAAATCCTCCAAAGACAGTATTTTGAGCATTACGATTCTCGGGAAATGTTACAACCGTACTCATAGCAAATGAATCGGACATCCAGCGGCCGCCGTCAGGTAAAATACGTTTATTCAACTCAAGACACAGCTTATCGGTTGTCTTATCAACTAAATCATAAATCATTTCATGTTCTTCTGATGTTGGTTTCGTTCGTAATGCTGACGTTTTATGCTTTTCTCGTCTGCGTTGGGTCCGCAAAGCGCCCTCATCAATAATTTTTTTTTCTTCATCGTTGCACGTTTTAATTGCATTTACCTCAGCTGGCCCAGTATTGTTAGCATTTCGTGCAACCATTAAAAAATTGACTTGCGCAATAGGGAACAATCCTTTTTCATTAACAATATCAGTCCATACGCTAGCCTCTAACGATGTTTTACCTACCCAAGAAATGTGGCCAACAAGGCGTATATTTCTCCCATGAACAGGTAGCTGCGACTGAATCCGTGTTCCATCGACCATCATCGTTACAAAAGTGTATGGTAAAGTTTCATTCGTTGGTAAATCGGGCAAGTGAACATGTTGTTGGCAAATATATCCGGCAAAAATGTCCATTGCCTCCAATAAGCGACCGACACGAAGCTTTCCATCATTATTAATATATATTGCTTGCATAGATGGCTCCGTGGAAAGAGGTATAATCGTCATTATATACGAGTCTTTCATGCAGCGAACTGGTAATTTTTCTTGTTTTGTAGTATATTTTAAAAGATGATCGCGTTTAGGGGGATCGGGTCGATAACCAATTGCAACGCCATACTGGTGTAAAAATTTCATTGTAACTAAAAAAAAAATATTATTATTATGTATATATGTACGTGTATATATATATATATATATATATATATATATATGTATATATGTATATAAATATGTATATATATACAGAAGTTTATTTAAGATAATATTCAATTCTACCTTCAGTTATTGTCCCGACATGAATGGGCTCCGCGCTCGTCAGAATAAATCGTCTGAAAATTCTTTTAAGAAAAGAATGGTTTTTTTTCGTTTTAATTTCGCACGAAAAGAAATTATTATTATATTACTTTCATCATACCTTTGATGATATAAAGATCTTTTAAATTTGCAACATTCATTTAAACGCTTGAATATTTTTAACATTTATTTATATATATTTTTTTTTCACACAAAAAAAAGGAAAAAATGAAAATCAATTCAATGACACGTACATATATATATATATATCAAAAGTTTATACAATATCGTATTTTTTTCTAATTGAACTTGGCCACCTTTGAACTGTCTTCACTTGCAAATGGTTTTCGATTGATTCTCCGTTGCTGCATTATCTGGTCTACTACTAAGATTGGCATTTTGGAATTTGCGTCGACCGTGAATGTATAAAAGTGCTTCATGATATGAACGAGGATAAATCTGCTGAACATGATCTGTTGATCCGGAAAATATGAAATATGAAACATTCGAAGTAATTTTTTCGGTTGTTGTCGGCTCAAGAACATCATTAATTGCCATCACTAACATATAATTCTTTTCAACATATATTATATAGGCTAGCATTCGGAGCAGTGATTGTATTGCCACGGGCTTATCGAAACTAAATTCAAAGGCATACTCGAGTTTTGGTCGAGTTTTGCAATGTTTAAATGCGGTTATAAAGCTTATTTCAAAAGCATTTCTCATTAGGAAACCTCCAAAGGCGGTATTTTGAGCATTACGATTCTCCGGAAATGACATGATATTATTTAATGCAAATGAATCGGACATCCAACGGCCATTTTCAGGTAAAATGCGTTTATTTAATTCAAGCGTTTGCTTATCGGTCGTCTTTTCAACGAAATCGTATATTAAATCATGTTCCTCCTGCGTGGGTTTCTTTTGCCATACGGATGCTTTTTGACTTTCTTTTCGAAATTTTTTACGTGTCTTAGCTTCTTGCGAAATTTTTTTCTCTTCCTCTGTCTCGATTTTAAGAGGATTTACAGGAGCCGATCCACTATTGATTGCATTACGAGCAGCCATTAAGAAATTCCCATGAGTTAACTTTGACATAATTTTGCCGTTAATAAAATGCACCCATACTGCTACTTCTAATGACGTTTTACCCACCGATGAAACGTAACCCGATATGCGTAAATCTTTATCATAACTAGGAAGTTGTCCTAAGATACTCATACTATCAACAATAATATTAACAAAAATATATGGCAAATGCTCATTCGGCGGTAAATTGGGAATTTTAACGTATTGCTGGCAAACCCAAATGGCAAAACAATCCATTGCTTCTATTAAACGACCCAATCGAACGGTACCCACGTCGCTAACATATTTCTCTTGCATAGCCTTATCTGTACGTAAAGGTATAGTCGCCATTATATACGATTCTCTCATCGAACGCGGAGGTAAATCTTCGCGCTTTGGTATATACTTAAGAAGATGATCACGTTTCTTTTCCTCAGCTTGATAACCAATATCAATGCCCAGTTGACTCATTAATTTCGTTGTAACTGTGAAAAAAAAAAAAATTAATTTATTTAAATATTGCTTTAAAATCAACCTTCGGTCATCGTTCCCGTATCAATTGGCTCAACAGCTTGCAGTAGATATCGTTTAAAAACTCTGTTAAAAAAAATTTTTTTAATTTCTTCTTCTTTTTTTCATTGTAAAAAAAACTTACGGTCGTAGCGAATGCAATGGCAAAGCGACGGTGAAACACTTCATATTTTTTAAAATTTTCCACATTTCGTTTTATTTTTCAAAAATTTACAAGAAAAAAAAAAATTATTTCGTGTTTTCGTTACGAGGCAAATAAACAAAAGTACAAAGTAAATGATATAAACTTGAAGTATTTACATTCCTTTTTCTTCTTTTTCTACGAGTCAACAGATCAACAACAGATGATATACTAAGTTGAGTAAAAAAGTTGCACAACTGACTTAGAAATTAATAAAAAAATTTTTTTTTTTTTGCAAGTTTTATTATTCGAGCTTTTTATTATTATTGATGATGGAAAGACTTTGAAATTTCCGGCGACCATGTATATACAATAATGTTTCCTGATACGAAAGCGGAACAATCGGCTGGACATCTTTCGGTGACGAAAATACAAAATACGACACATTTGAAGTAATTTTTTGAGAAGTAGCCGGGTCAAGAACATCATTAGTCGTCATTATTGTCATGTAATTTCTTTCAACATAAATAATATGTGCGAATATTCTGAGGAGTGATTGAATAGGTACGGATTTTTGGAAATCGAATTCGGAAACATGCTCTAACTTTGGTCGATTTTTGCAGTGCGTAAACGATGTTATAAATGTAATTTCATAAGCGATTCTCATCAAGAAACCGCCAAAGACGGTATTGTGACGATTTTTGTTTTCCGGGAATGATAGAATCATTGTTACACCATGGGCATCCGACATCCAACGACTATCGGGTGGAAGAACACGCTTATATAATTCCAGAGATGTTTTATCAGTAGTTTTCTCAAGTAAATCGTACATTATATCGTGTTCTTCTTGTGTGGGTTTCTCTTGCCATACCGAAATCTTCCGCATTTCAGCTCTTTTTTGTCTGCGTAATTCGCCCTCTTCTATTATTTTCTTCTCCTCATCGTTATCGGCTTTAAGAGGATTAATCGGTGCCGATCCCGAATTGTTAGCGTTTCGACCAGCCATTAAAAATCCAGCTTGCGTTATTTCATGCAATTCGTTTCCCTTCACAACATGCACCCATACAAGTACCTCAAACGATGATGTTCCTACCCACGATACATAACCTGATACCTGGAGATCGTTATCTACACCAAATACATTATAGCGAATATTCATACTATTTGCCATAATAGTGACAAAGGTATAAGGTAATTGGCCGTCAGGTGGCAAGTTTGCTAACTTAACATGCTGTTGACAAACCCATACAGCAAAAAGATCCATATCTTCCATTAAACGACCGTAACGCACTGTTCCAACATTGCTGACATATCTTTGCTGCATAACTTTGTCGGTTCGCAATGGTATTGATGCCATAACGTACGAATCTTTTACAGAACGTGGAACTAAGTCTTCCCTTTTTGGCGTATACTTCAAAAGATGTTCGCGTTTTCTTGGTTCTGCCGTATCTAAAGAGTCTGCACCCAATAATTTCGATAGCTTTTCTTTAACTAAAATTAGTTTATAAAATTATAATTAAAAAAAATATATATTTATTTTACCTTCAACCATAGTACCGGAATTTACAGGTTCTACATTCTTCAACAGCAACCGCTTAAAAAACCTGGAATAAGAAATGGGAAACTTGAATTCCATGCAAAGTGGGACATTCTGCAAACATGTATGCTTTTACCGTTGACGTAGTGAGTTTCGTAAAATGTACGAATTAACAAAATCGTACGAATGGTTTATTATTTTTAGCATTTTTAATAATAAAAAAACAAAAATTTTACTGATGTCAATTGAGAAAGATGTTATGTAGTATGCTTAAGCTAAAAGTAATATCATGGCATGCTCACCAGGGTTATAAGTTTTAACTGGTAATGATAAACTGGCAATAAATATCTTTAGATTTCATGTTTTTCCATTAGCGGGATTCAACCATATAAGCTGGCTTTTTTTTCTAAACAACATCGTATCCTTTATTTATAATTGAAAATTTGATAAATTTTTGTAAAGCTTATGTTGAGTTTTTATACAATTTTTGCTTTCTTTCCAGGTTTTTGTTATGAAGCTTAACTATCTAGAAGTCAAATAAACAACCCGTCATTATATTGTTCTTCTTATTTTTTGCCAATCTAAGGTATTCACCACAAATTTAGTGCGTCCATTTCATTGCTGAAAGCCCTTTATCAGCTCTTTCTATTTCTATTTTGCCGTCATATATCTAGTGAACTTCTTAGTGAATCTAGCTCGTTAGTAGAATATCTTGCTTATTTTCTTCCTGTCAAGTGGTGTCTGGCAGTTTGTCAATCGATATCGGACATAGCCAGGTTTTTCAAATGGTACCTGAGGAAATTATGACCCGTGGAGAAGCCGTTGAGTAAACGTAGGTCGCTTTTTCTTAGTTCCCGCAGTTTATGCGCCATATCTGAAAATTTTATAAATCGCATTTCGTGCCGTTGTCTTGTGCATTGCTTTCTGTTGTGCCCATTGCAATACCAACCTGTTGATATGGCCTATTGGTACGACGCAGAAAAGTTCAGGACATACCATGGTCCCTCGGACTTCTCTGTTGGCTAGATATTCAGTCCTTTCTTTGCCCTCAACACTCGAATGGCCAGGCATCCACAATAGGTGAATATCATCGCGCCTGCCTAGCTCATTCCATGTTTGAAGGCCCTCCAACACAAGCCTAGATGTTGTCATTCGCCCCTTCAGGCACTTTAAGGCGGTTTGACGGTCGAAGTAGATGCAGGTCTGCTCCCTCATGCACTGCGTTGTTAAGCATTCAGAAGAACATGTGGAGATTGTCTAAACTACTGCTTGGAATATGGAAGGACTACGCCCCATCGATATGGCCTTCTGAAAACTCGGGCCACAAACCCTCGTCCCAACCGGTTCTCGCCGGTATGGCCACCCTGAACTGGTGGGACAGCACTAGCTTTGCAGCGCAACTCTTGAGGTTTTTTAAAGCATCAAGGCGGCCTCTAAGATTTTCCGATTTTAATTTGTCGATATTCCACTGGCTCAGTGCGCTCAAACAAGACTCTTTTCCTGTAGCAATAGAATAATGTGTTAGGAGCAACAGCGCCTCTAGGGCAGGATTTCATCGCTCCGGTCATGTCAATGCACGCGAGACGATGCGTTTTGTTTAATGTCGTAGTCGCGGTTATTTGCTTCCCATGCTAACCTATGCAGCTCAGGTAGGATCTGGTGGGGACAAGATCGAACAACTCTTCCCCGATTGCGGTTCTGAAAATGGATACCCTATCTCTATTTAGAATAATAGCATTATTTCCTAAGAAATATTCAAGAAGGTACTCAGTTCTTGAATTGTCGTTTTTGCTGCCCTATTCCTTTAGTGGAAGTTGGCAGCACAGTGGATTAGGCAGGGCAATCTGCCGGACATGCAACAATAGGCCAGGCTCCTTACCTCAACTGTGGATATCTCTCTCTCGCCCGCTAAGTAGGCGGAGGTTATTGCCCCTGAATGATTCCTCTGGGGATTGACTTCAAAGCCTAAATCGCCAGTATAAATTCTAAAGTGGAAAGAAAGTTATTTTGTCTCCCATAAACAAGTGTTGCTTGTTGTAGACCAACTTAGCTTTCTTGATGCGCAGGCCGTGAATAGTGCCCACATTTATACAAGGCTCCTGGATGGATTACGTCGAGACCCTCGTTTCTGGACTTTGTGCTAAGAATAGAAGAAGCGGCTTTGGCATGGTGAATGCAGCTTACTTGCATATTTTTTCTGGGCACTCAAATGCATCCTTAGAGGTGCACCGCTTAAGTTTAGTGTGCCTAGGTTGTTGCGGAGTGTAGCTTGCTCCGCAAGCAATTAGTTCTTTGTTGGCCTGTACCTCGATGCTGATGGGCGCTGAGTTTTTGAGCCCGCGGAGGACCCGGGCGTTGTTTCAAGGTTAGACGCGGCTCCGCCGACGGTCAGGTTACCTTCTCTGTCGTCGATCACGGTCTTCCCGCCCCTGCGTGTTGCTGCAGTCCTGCAGCTAGGTTTCAGTGACACTGAGCTGAAACCGTAGCTGGCAACTTGTTCTATTTGCTTCAGCACTGCTGCCAAAGATGCGTCCAATACCAGAGTTCGGACCGTTGTACTCCTTTTAGAGTCCCTCTGGAGTATCTGCCAGTACTCAATTTTTAGGACCTTGTTCTGGTCCTCAAGAAGTTTTAGAATGTCTTGTGGTGCGACGGTTTCATTTGTGGGGAAATAACCGACGACACCGTGAGGTCGAGGTAAGTCTTCCTTACATCGTTATCTTAACCATTCCAATGTCTCTTTCCCCTTATAGGTAAGTACGGGCCAACCACGGCTGAAAGTGCAGTAAGCAAATTTTGATTTCACACTTGATTTATGCTGCCTACGAATCCTATCCAAATGAACACTTTATGTCGTTCTCAATTGGTCGTCCTTCCATGGCGTCTTTGGGCAGTCAGCTGGGATAATCCTTATCCTAACCAACTCTCCACCTCCTTATAAGATCACAGTTGCGTGTGCCCGGACCGCGGTATTCCACTGGGGGTCCCTACAGTTTCAGGCATCAGGCGTTTTGGCGGATTGCCGAACTAGCGGCCGAAGAGTCGTCCAGTGTGTCGCGCTTTAATCGATCTGGGCCTTCGCCTTTTCAAAGGCTGCAGGAGTCACCATTGCGTGGTTGCGTGCCTCTTCAAAACTTATGCCACCTTTCATCAGAGCTTGGAGATGGCGCTCTACCGTTCGGGAGTTCCTGATAGGGTTTGAGTCCCTTCTTCGGACCCTTCTGTGCTACCCCAAATAACTCGAGATGAGAGCCGAGGAGAACATCTTCGTCCACGGTGTAAATGTTGTCAGTACCTAAGCTGTCCTCAATTTCCTCAGCGGGTTCGAAAATTGCGTCTTATTGAGGATTGGGTTTTGTTGTTTCTACAACAATTTAATTCTCCATGAATGTCTGAAAGATAGGGAAAGTAGTCAGTCGAGGCAGAGCCCTTGTATTATGAAGCGATGATTTTGCTTCCCTAGAAGTTCCTAAATATCTGGACCACACTGTTCGAAGACACACTCACGTAGTGCCACTCGTCCCTAAATACGCTACGTATGACACTCGGGATTACGGATTTTTTCAAGTTTACCTCTCTGGTTCCGTCATGTTCTATGAAAGGAACAGCGGCACTCGGGAAGAATGCAACACTGGTGCTGCGTATTAAAGTCTGGATGGTTGTTATGCTCGTGCACAGCTCTTAGGCAGGTGTGTTAGCCTTCGTGCAACCCGTCTTACGGGTACATTGTGCCTGTCGCTCGCTGGTCATTCCTCCATTCGAGTATTAGTAAAATTCCTCAGACCTTAAATATGCGTAAACATTGTGAAGACAAAGGTGAATAAAAATTATTTTTAGACTAGTACAACGTTACAGTGATCTACAGAAAAAGAGAGAAAATGATCATTATTACGCTGGTACGTCATCGACTAAAATTAATTTTTTCCATTTAATTTTCGATTTTCCTTAAATTTTTAATGTTTAAAATTTTTAGTTCAACCTGGGGTTACGAAACGTTTAGGTTTAGAAATAGGTTACCCACCGATGCCACGAATCCACGAACATTTACTTAAAGGTGAGCCAAAAATGACCGATATGCCACCGCTTTCTATGCAAGATTTCTTTACCTCAGTTATAATACCGTTAAGAGCTGATAAAAGCATACAAGAGAGTAACATAGCATTTTTGGGTCGTGTTCGATTAGGACGTTTAATGGAAGACAGAAATATGCTTGCTGTTTGGGTATATCATCAACATGTAAATATTGTTTCGTTACCAGCGGATGTACATTTGCCCTAATAAACTGGTCGACAATTTGCTACTAAACTGGTCGACAAGGTGACATTTTCCGACCTACGAACTATGGCTACTGACGATATACGTATGCCCGGCCATGTTTCTTGGGTGGGTAGAAATTCAATGCAAATTGTTGTACGGCTAGAACAAAAAGAGAATGTCTTGATATCCTATTTGACTGTTCGAATGTGGCCTCTTTCATGCGCCATTCCACACTTCGCAAATTGACCGCGGCATTTTTGAAGTTTCGCGTTCTCAAACTTAGAAACAATGTCTTTTTCTATTTAATTCATTTTGCAAAGGCATTGCCCAGAACGTTGTCCTTTAATTGAAAAAATGTTAACAAAAAACAATTATTTTTTCTATTTGTAGAGTTTATTATTTGATGCTTCTATTATTATTGATGCTGGAAAGATTTTGAAATTTCCGACGACCATGAATGTACAATAAAGTTTCCTGATACGAACGGGGAACAATCGGCTCGACATCTTTCGGTGAGGAAAATACGAAATACGATACATTTGAAGTAATTTTTTGAGAAGTAGCCGGGTCAAGAACATCATTAGTCGTCATTATTGTCATGTAGTTTCTTTCAACATAAATAATATGTGCGAATATTCTGAGGAGTGATTGAACTGGTATGGCTTTTTGAAAATCGAACTCTGAGACATGCTCTAACTTTGGTCGATTTTTGCAATGTTTAAATGATGTTATAAATGTAATTTCATAAGCGATTCTCATCAAGAAACCGCCGAAGACCGTATTGTACATATTTTTGTTTTCCGGGAATGATAGAATCGTCGTTACATCATAGGCATCCGACATCCAACGACTATCGGGTGGAAGAACACGCTTATATAATTCAAGAGATGTTTTATCAGTAGTTTTCTCAAGTAAATCGTACATTATATCGTGTTCTTCTTGTGTGGGTTTCTCTTGCCATACCGAAATCTTCCGCATTTCAGCTCTCTTTTGTCTGCGTAATTCGCCCTCTGCTATTATTTTCTTCTCCTCATCGTTATCGGCTTTAAGAGGATTAATCGGTGCCGATCCCGAATTGTTAGCGTTTCGACTAGCCATTAAAAATCCAGCTTGAGTTATTTCATGCAATTCGTTTCCCTCAACAACATGCACCCATACAAGCACTTCAAACGATGATGTACCTGCCCACGCCACGTAACCTGATACTCGGAGATCGTTATCTACACCATATACATTATAGCGAATATTCATGCTATTTGCCATAATAGTAACAAAGCTACAAGGTAATTCGCCGTCGGGTGGTAAGTTTGCTAACTTAACGTACTGTTGGCAAACCCATACAGCAAAAAGATCCATATCTTCCATTAAACGACCGTAACGCACTGTTCCAACATTGCTGACATATCTTTGCTGCATAACTTTGTCGGTTCGCAATGGTATTGATGCCATAACGTACGAATCTTTTACAGAACGTGGAACTAAGTCTTCCCTTTTTGGCGTATACTTCAAAAGATGTTCGCGTTTTCTTGGTTCTGCCGAATCTAAAGAGCCTGCACCCAATAATTTCGATAGCTTTTCTTTAACTAAAATTAATTTATAAAATTATAATTAAAAAAAATATATATTTATTTTACCTTCAGCCATAGTACCGGAATTTACAGGCTCTACATTCTTCAGCAGCAACCGCTTAAAAATTCTGGAATAAAAAATGAGAAACTTGAATTTCCATGCAAAGTGGGACATTCTGCAAAAATGTATGCTTTTACCGTTGACGTATTGAGTTTCGTAAAATGTACGAATTAACAAAATCGTACGAATGGTTTATTATTTTTAGCATTTTTAATAATAAATAAAAAATAAAAATTTTACTGATGTCAATTGAGACAGATGTAGTACGCTTGAGTTGAAAATAATATCATGGCATGCTACCTTGTTTTTCCTCTTCTGCCAACCTGCTGTATTAATCAGCATGTATATTTCCTACTGAGTCCAGTTCAGTGGTTCATTGCTAGAACACTTAATTACATACGAATCAAACGTAGCGCTTTATCATCCCTTTCTACTTCTATTTCGTCGTCCTATATCTGATGTACTTCTTTTCTTAGTGAATCCAGCTCGTTACTGGAGTATTTTGCCTATTTTCTTCCTCTAGTGTAGGACAGTTTGTCCATGCTTTATAGCATTACAATTACTTCCAAACGACTGACACGCTTTTTTAACGCTATTTTATGCAACGATAATTTTGAATACAAGCAAAACTTCCTCGGATTTATCAAAAGCGAGTGCGAGACGATTATATTATCACGAACAATATTTCGTAAGGGGCGCTATTTGTCTAATTTTAATATACTTTTAAGCCAGTAACTAAGTATGAGGATGGAGGCGTCTAAAGAGCTGGTCAAAATTGATGCAAATAAATGAAAACCTTCAATGTGAAGTTACCTAATAGAATCTTGTACATATAGAAGCGAATCCGCATATTTGCACTACAAATAAAGCTGCATTTTCAGATTTTAAAGTTCTTCATTTTCTTGCTCTTGAAAAATAATTTGGTCTTATAGCAGGAAGCATATTTACTGCCTTTTTTTTATTAGTAATGCAGTCTATAATTTTGCTGATCAGACAGTGTTGGTGAAAGTAATTTTATTTAAATTGTGGAGACTAGCAATTTACTGATTCAACAACAGTTATGAACGTGTACAGATAAGTAACCTAAATGAGGAAACAAATATTAAACACAAATAATGCAATATTTTAATCGCCGAAAGTCACTATGTTAGATTAAAATTGTTTAACTGCAGTATTTTGTTTCTTCTAAGAGGAACGGTTTTTATTATAATAAGAAAGTTTTTTTATTGTCTTTTCTTTTTGCGAGATAATGCAGACTTTAATTTTATTAAGAAAGCAATTTTGGTAAACGCAATTTTACTTAGATTGTGGAGATTTCAATTATTTTATGAGCCGTCATAAAACCAATTATAAGCTAAATGAGTTAATAGATAAATAAATTACATGAGGAGGTAGACGTTAAATACAAATAATATAATTTTTTACAATTTATTAGATTTTCTTAATTGACTTCGTCGATCATGTCGAGTACATCAGTACAATAATTTAACAGCAGAAGTTCATTACATTAACTTTAACTTATTCAGGTACAGTATTTTCTTTCTATTAAAAAAATGTGTTATAACAGGAAGCATTTTTATTGCTTTTTTTTTCTTTTCTTGATAAGGCAGACTTATTTTTAATAAACAGTGTTGGTAAACGGGATTACTTCGATTGTGGATATTAGCATTTTACTGAATTATCGGCGTATAGATGAATAACTTAACATTGCACAAATTTTCCTTAATTATATAATTTCTTTCATCATATTGAAAACGTCAATATAATAATTTAAGAGCACGAGGTGAGGCTATGCCAGCTGGAAAGCAATCTCGGCATTATGGTAGAGGTTTTATTTGCGTTGCTTATGGTTTTTCTTGATTGATTTCCGTATTCATTGCAATAATGACAAAAATGTCGCATGCGATTGAATTGATTTTAAGTTGCGTGTGTTTTGCCGACGGTCCGTTAGATAATGTAAAGTTTTTGTTTTGCCGACGGCTTTTTTTAAGTTGAACCCTTCTGGTCTGTTAAGTTGCGCGTTTAACATAGCTGATTGGTGTTAACATTTAAGTTGTTAGTTGGGCACTCAACCATTTATATATATTATAAGCGACTCTGTGCTTTGCCTTTCAACAGGGAATTTAGCGAGGACTTTGTTTAGAAATTATGACGGTTTAATTCTAAGCTAACTTGTCAAATAAAAGAAATTAAGAAATTTTATAATCGCGAATTTTATATATGATGTTAACCTATGTTAAATGGTGTTGATGCGAAGCAACCGTTTCAAGCCGAATTCTAGTTTTATTATTAGTGGATTTTTAAGATTACTGTAATCGTATTCAAGTGCAGCCTTTGCTTTCTTTTGAAAGACAAGGTTTCTGTTATAACAGGAAGCATTATTATTGGTAATGCAGTCTTTAATTTTATTGAGCAGACAGAGTTGGTAAACGGAATTTTATTTAGGTTGTGGAGATTTTAGCAATTTAATGGATCGTCGTCATTAAACCAGATACTAAACTAAAGTGAATGCAGAAGTTATCAAATATAAATAATAGAATTATTTTTAAAATATAAAATTATCTTAAATGACTTGTGTGATCATATCGCGAATATGGATGCAGTAATTTAACAAGGGAAGAGATTAGCTCATCACTTGTAGATGTGTACAGAGATATTTATATACGCAAATGTGTTTACTAGTTTAGTCATTCATTACGTCACGGATGTATAGCAAAATTTGTTAGTTTTTATTTATTTATTAAATAACGGATTATCGTTAGTATTAATTAACAAAATAAATAAAAATGTTTCGAATACTCCTAAAAACAAGCGGAAGGATGGTCAGTAGTCGAAAACTGTTGTTACCTCAAAGCAAAGGAATATTGTCTATGGGCAGTTTGTAAGTAAGCCTACATAAACACTGTAAAGAAAACGTTGAATGAAAATAATTTTTAGACTAACACAACGTTACATTGGTCTACAGAAAAAGAGCGACAATGATCATTATTACGCTGGTACTATGGCTGAAGGTAAAATAAAATCTTTTTATTTAACTTTCGATTTTCCTATAAATTTTAATATCTACGATTTTTAGTTCAAGCTGAAATTATGAAACGTTTAGGTTTAGAAATGGGTTACTCACCGGTGCCAAAAACCCGCGAACATTTACTTAAATATGAGCCAAAAATTACCGATTTGCCAGCGCGTTCTATGCAAGATTCCTTTACTTCAGTTATAATACCATTAAGTTCTGATAAAAGCCTACAAGACCGATATGTAGCATTTTTGGGTCATGTTCGATTAGGACGTTTAATGGAAGACATGGATATGTTTGCTGTTTGGGTATGTCATCAACATGTGAATGTCCCTTCTCTACCAGCGGATGTTCATTTGCCCTATACATTTGTTACTATACTAGTGGATAAGGTAACATTTTCCGATGTACGAACTAGGGCCACTGAAGATATACGTATGTCAGGGCATGTTTCATGGGTGGGTAGAAGTTCAATGGAAATTGTTGTATGGCTAGAGCAAAAAGAGAATGGTTCATGGCGTAAAATTACACGAGCTTTATTTTTAATGGCTGCCCGTAATGCCACCAATACGGGAGCGGCGCCAGTTAATCCTATCAAACCCGCCACTGATGAAGAGAAGAATATTTTAGATGGTGGCGAAGAACGTAAGAAATTGCGTCAAAAATTACAAGCGTCTTCCATATTCAAAGTGGAACCCAATGATTTTGAACAATCATTGATGTATGATCTGTATAAGCGTACCACACCACAAACGACAATCGAGTTAAATAAACGTGTTTTACCATCTAATTGCCGTTGGATGTCTGATTCTTATGTGGTTAATACGATGGCTTCGTATCCGGAAAATCGTAACGCCCATAATAAAGTATTTGGCGGCTTTTTAATGCGCAACGCATTGGAAATCAGTTGGGTGGGGGCGAATCTCTATTGCAAAAATCGCCCTAAATTGGAGCATATTTGTGATATTAGTTTTGAGAAGCCGGTGAGTGTTAATTCATTCATTAAAATGACTGCCTATGTGGTCTACACTGAAGTTAACTACATGCAAATGATGACCATCGCTGATATTATCGATTCCAGTACTGGTGATCAGTTAACTTCGAATGTATTTTATTATACATTTTCGGCACCAGATGAAGTCCCCGAAATATTACCCCGTTCGTATCACGAAACGATGTGGTATATACACGGACGTCGTAAATTCAAATACGCTTTGGGTTTGGAATAAAAACAAACGGAAGAAAGCATCAGACGAAATTTATCGAAATTATTAATTGGAACGAACAGGAATTTTGTATTATTTTAATGTACGTTTTCGTTGTTGCTTTTGCTGAATTTATTCATGTTTTTTTTTTTTTAAATTTTTTTAACATTATTGTGATTTTTTGTACCTTTTTCTCTTTGTAAGATTAAAGTAAATGATTTTTTTTTCTTTAATTTTCAAATAATTATAATATATAATTACGATGTTAATGAGAGGAATGGATAGGGTCATAATGCACTGCGGGCATATGTGAGGCTAAATATACATTTAATTTAAAATCCCATGTCACATTAGCAAATTATGCACTGAGTTTTCCCAAGGAGTATTCATCAGAGGTTAAAGAAAGAAAGTACACTTGTTTGTGATAGTCATAAGATTATTTATCGATTTAATTATATTATATTCTTCTCGCTGATCCGTCTATCCACTTGTAACATTTGGAATTTCGACATATGGTAATATATAAGAATAAACATATATACATATATTATCCTGTCCATATTGGAATTTCGAGTATATTAACCATATCCGTCCGAATTTCAGTTATCTGTAGTCGAATCGCTAACAGTTGGAAAAATTGGGATAAAAGGATGGCTTATATGCAATTACGTCTTACAACTCTCAGAAATAAATATCAGATAACTTCCCTAACCATTTCAAATCTGCATAAGATCCTGAATTAATTTAGTTCTTTGAACGCTCGTTTATCTCATATAAAGCAACTCATATAAGACACTAATCATTTGACATATATATATAAGATATAAAAAGAATACTATAGCGGAGAACAATACTAAAGTGATGCTTACAAACTGCCTAAGAACTTCTTCAGAAATACAAATTCATTCTCCAAAGGCTTTGTCCTTAGTAAAATAATCCTTAAGATGAGATTGATTGATATGGAAGTTTTGTTGAAAAGTTGGAAAATCCAGCAGCAGAAATAGGCTGAACTCAAAATTGGCAACCATAGTCATGTAATAGCCCATATAATTGCTTGTATACTCTTTGTTTTTGTTTTTTATATCTCTAATAAATCTTATGTACTTAATTGGAAAAATATATTTTTTATTTTTTGCATTCCTTGCAACTGTGCAGATAAAGCGTTTTTGCTTTAGTATCTATGACGAGCTAATTACAATTTCTTTTAGCGAAAAGGAAAGTATTTTTTTAAAATAGATTTTCATTCACTTTTATTTCACTTTTTTTTTATACACAATTAAGAAAAATTTCCACAATTCGTTTTGAATTTAGAATATCATACGATGCGGATATTGTGAAGAGTGCAAGGCAAACATATTCTTTAAATATTTGATTAAGAATTTCGCTTCAGGGTGGGATTTAATGGCTTTAATAATAGCAGCATCTACCTCTTTCTGATCTTTCTTACGCTCATTTGGCATGAATCGCTCTTTTTTAATCGCGAATATGTCACCTTCACCAGTCTTCTTTTCTTTTTTGATCTTTAAACGACGGAAATAGGCATCATCTAAATGAGCCGGCACTTTATAATCACCCAAATTTACTTGAGTAGATGTTCCGATAACATATCGTTGAGAAACTCTACGCAACGGGCACGAGTTAACCGCAAACGGGCCGGTTACTAGTAATAGACCGGAGGCCAAAGACTTGAGTAGAACAACACGTTTGCCCTGATGACGACCAGCTAATAAGATGAGTACAGTGCCAGGTTTTAAATTACGTCGTATATTACGCTTATGTTGGCTAAAGAAATGCTTGGCCGGACGTTTCTTAACAAATCTTTTAGTTGGATAATTGGCTTTTGGTTTCTTCTTATAAACAATACGTTCTGAACCGTTCTTAGCTCCTCCAATTTTTTTAACTTTTTTAATAGGAATTTTCGCTTTTTTGAAAACCGGACGCTTAGTACCCTTCAAACGATATAAGGCTCGACGTTTATACATCTGAAAAATAAATGGAACATTCATTTAATAACAATTCTTATAAGCATGCCAGCCATATTTGTTTTCCTTAGGCGTTAAATTACATGAACCACACACATATCCACGCACACATTAATATTAAGCGTTGTTTTTTTTTTCTTAAGCAATTTTCTAAATAAATTTTCGTATTGGTTCACCTGGCTTTTGGAGTAACGTAAAATTCCTCCACGGAGGTAAGTATTTAATGGATGTTTTTTATTTTTTTTGCCCGTTTTTTGGGCTGCTTTAACTTTTTCTACGGGTGCCATATCGGAAAACACGTGTACACCGTACAAGAAATTTTGAAGGAAAGAAAGGTTACGTATGATAGCATTGCCAGTCGTACTAAAAACAAAGCTAAAAAATATATTTAATAAAACAACAAAAAGCAATTGAGGCAATATGATTACCTTTCAAAGGGTAAAGAAAAGTTTTCTCTCATTGTTGGGAATTAGATTCAAATGTAAATAAAAAGGAAAACAGTTTATAAAGGTATAATAAATTCATCCGAAGATATATAAATAAATAAACGTTTTTTTTTTTTTTTGTTAAAATTTATTATACATTCAATTAAATAATTTTTCGTTAAATTCTTACATACTTCACATAGGTTTGCAACTCACAACTACACATGCATTTCAATTCTAAAAGTGAAATTATTCTTAATATAAATGTTCTCCATTTTGATGTCTGTTTTATTCATTTATTTTTAATGACTGTACAATTTGCTTTTGCGATAAGCAAAATGAGTTTTAACAATAAAATATCATAAATAGTTATTGTAAGTATTTATCTTAGTATCTGTAGTATTTTTCTATTATTTCATATATTATTATCTATCATAATATTATATAATTTTCCGATCGTAAAAGTACTCGTTGTATTAGTATGGTAGTAATAGAGCTTTGTACATTTTTTGTTTTTTATTTTATTAACTATTAAAATGTAATATATCAACAAATTGCGACATGCGTTGTCGTATTTACATTTTTAGTAATCTTTGAAATGTTATTCAGCACAAGTTTTGTTGTTGATATCGGCTTTACAAATATTCATAAAATACAGCCCAATAAATTCCGTTCAGCGTGGCAAAGAGAGCCGGGAAAAGTACACGTGACGTACGATCAATATAAATGGCTCGTTTAAGACGTTGTTGTTGTGGCGTTAATTTCGGTTTTTCAGGTTCGGGTGCTGGTGGAACGGGTGGTACACGTTGGGGTGGTGGTGCCGGGGCGATAGTAGGATTCAAAATAATACGAGATTCTTGTCGCGGTATCCAAGGACCGTCAGCGTCTAATGGAGGTTTAATCACTCGTCGTGTAGTATGCATTACCTTAAGTCAAAAAGATGCATATAAAGAGAAAAATTTGTAATTAAATTTCTAATTAAAAATAAATTACGGATATATATGATATGTTAAACTGAACTCTCTTTATATTAAAAAAAAATTCGAATAGAAATCTTGAGCGAATAATTGGAAACTATAACCGGTAGCAGACGCAGATTTGATTAAATCGTTGGTACGTTCACAAAATAAACAAACAAACAAAACACAAAAAATTCGCACGTGTTATTTTATGATGATTCGAAGAAGGCTTTCCCTTCGATCAAACATGCATTCATCCCCCCTTGTACGTCTCCTGAATAGTTTTATACAATTTTTATAGGCGTGGCATTCGATTTTATCCTATTTTCAAAAAAAAAAGAATATTCTCTTTCCATATATATTCAAACAAATGGTTTGGTTGAAATGTAATATATATTCTTTTTTATATAAATGTATCAAAAATATGCATTCATCCCCCCTTGTACGTCTCCTGAATAGTTTTATACAATTTTTATAGGCGTGGCATGCAGAGATTGTAGCTAAGCGAGTAGGCAGGACAGAAGTAAGCCACAGCAAGATTCACTGAGCTTTTACGTTAAGCTAAACTAGAAACTTAGGTGGATAGTTCCGAAACGTTATATGTTAATTTCATAGAACCCCTATGCATTATAGGTACGAATTTTGTTTAAATTTCTCTTTATGGAAAACGAGAACATATATTTTTCAAGCAGTTTGTCGTCTCCTTCTCGAAAAGCTAAAAGTGCATGGTGAATGCGGTAAGACTTGGAAACAAAAAAATTCTTGACAAAAATTTTACTATATGTTGTTCGCGATGCTAGCGAAAAGATGCTAGATACTTTTTTTCCAATATCTCGTTCACGCTACTAGCGAGAAATGCTTAATAAATTTTTGCGATATTTCGTTTACGCTGCAAGCGAAAAATTGTTTGATAAATATTTTACTACATGTCGATCGCGCTGCTAGCGAAAAATTGATTCATGAATTTTTTGCGCCATTTCGTTCGCGCGAAAAAATGCTTGGAGCATTTTTTGCTATATTTCATTCAGGTTGCCAGCGGAGAATGCTTGATAAATTTTCGCGATATCTCGCTTACGCAGCAAGCGAAAAAATGTTTGATAAGAATTTTGATATCTCTCTCGCGCTGAGAATGAAAAAATGATTGATAAATTTCTTTCGCCATGTTAGCAAAAACCGCTGAATACACATTTTGCGATTTTTCGTTCACGTTGCAAGCGAAAAAACGTTTGGTAAATATTTTACTATATGTCTATCGCGCTGCTAGCGAAAGAATGCCCGATATATTTTTTGCGATATTTTGTTCACGATGCAAGCGAAAAAAGGTCGATAAATTTTTGCGAAATTTCGTTTGCGCTGCTAGCGAAATAATGCTTGATATATATTTTGCCATTGCATTGATTGTGATCTTTACGGTCCTGCTACGGTCCGGCTTTTGACGACTCTGCCGCGATCGGAGTAAGTCTCCGTGTTTAGCAAGTTAAATGCTTTGAGATGTTTTCTTAATAACTATATCAGTAAATATTGCTTCAGAAATGAGCTCGATTTTTCCTGCGTATTCATGTACAGTCATAGATTTGTCCCTTAAGTGCATATAGCTAACTGATTCATTTTTTAAACCGTCTTACCCTTTTATTTTTGACCATCTCATCGAATAATTTTTCAATTTTATCATCTGCGATTGGCTTCGGAGCTGGCTCCGGTTTGGGATCTGGTTCTTTTTTAGCTGGTTCTGCGGCCGGTTTAGGCGGGGGTGCAATGGGCTTTGGTATCGGTGTATCACTCAAGACAATATTGATTAAGCAATATTCCATTAAAGCCATGAACACAAACACCGTGCAGACAGACATGAATGCATCGACCGCTTTTAGGTAAGATACAGGGGGGAGAGATGATTGCGATTTCGCATGTTGCGTCGATAAAGTAAGCAATGATGTAACACCGAGTGTAACACGGGCTGGTGCCGCTTCGGGTTTTATCCAAAACGAAACCCACGACATTATAACAATCATGCATGTCGGTATATAAGTATTGAAAACATAGTATACCAGGCGTCTCTTTAGAGTGAAGACAACTTCTAGACAAGTAAAATTTCCGGTTGAATAGACTTGGGTGCAATCGGCGGTCTCATTGCGTATCAGTGCAACCTGCGGCAATTCAATATTTTCATCGACCACTAACGGTGTCGTTGGATCCCATTGAAATATCATATCGTCCGTAGTGTGAGATACTAGAAACAAAAATGGGGGAAAGAGAAAGTAGTTCAAGATATCGTAAAAGATGATCATATTCGATTTTGAAAACTTACAACTTTCCATTTGCAGTTTACACTCTTGCGTGTCGTGGGGATAAATTGCAAAGTTCATAATGCACGATAGCTTCAATGTCAACTTCACCATATACAATATAGTTTTGTCCTTGTAAAGCCACATATAATGATTGGGTATAGTCATGGTTTGAAATGTAACTGATTTAGCATTTTTGAAAAACGAATCTGGACGCCAGACATTTTTTAACCAATCAACTTCAAGTAAACGATATTCAGTTGTCATATTCTCAGGTAAACGTAATCGATGATCCTTCCATGTCTGAGCGAAAAATATATCGGCAACGTAAGTCATTGAATTTTCATCAATTGAATCTAAACCCATGACTGTGACGTGAAAATAAACAATAGTAGGTGCTCCTTCCTTTTTCGGCGGTCTCATCTTATCATATCGTTTTATATCTTCAGGTAATATATCGGTTATGGCTAGACTTTGCCTAAATTAGAAAAAAAAAATAAAATAAAAAATAAATAAATAAAAAAAGTCATTAAATTTTATTTGTTACTCGATGTCTTTGTAGTTGTGTGTTTTTAATGAGAAATACTTACTGAAATTCGCCTTGTGTGAATTGTTGTAAATTTATCGAGAGTATAGCAAATAAAACAATTTTCGAATCCATTGCTAGAAAATATAAAAACATGTAAGAAAATTATATTCGGTCATGAGAGAATATTTTACACCCATCATCGTCATCTTAAAAAAAAAGAGACTAAAAATAAAGGAAAACGACTACTTTTTTGTACTCTATAATATCGGATGGGCGTGATAGATTTTTGTCTTTTTTGCAGAATAAAAGTGTAAATTTGTATGGTGTGTATGTGTTGTACTTGATGAGAACAAGTAGTAAACACGGAAAGTGAAGGTATTCACCTGTTTGTTGCAGACGCCTGTGGGTGCTGTAGGCGTCTTTTATATCCATTTGGGTCATTTTAAAATTTGTTTGCAAATTTGTAAGGGATATCTTTATTTTTGTGGCAAGGAGAAAGTCTACCTAGTTTACATAGATAGTTGGACAGAGGGACAGTTGGACGGATGAACACTCGGTGTGTGTTGTATTTTATGAGTAACAAGCAAAAAACACGAGAAGCAAAGGTTGTTCACAGTGCTTGTCGCATAGGCATACGAGTGTTGTGGGCATGGCTTTTTACCGGTATGGAAGATTTTCAAATTCTTTTGTAAATTTGTGGGCGACATCTTTATTTTTGCGAGCGAGAGAATGTTTACCATACACATTAGACATTTGGGTAAGCGGACCGATGCACGGCCGAGCAAACAAATTTGTTCAGGTGCATTTCGATTTTGAAATTGGCAAAGCATTTGTATACTTTGCTGGAAGTTTGATGGTTGTTTTTGTGGTTTATAGAGGTATTGAAAAAAACCCAAATTTTGATAGACTAGATTGTGCCCATTTTCAATATTAACGGACCTAAAAAGTTTTTGCAAATTTGAAGTCGATAGATTCATTTTCGCGGCCATGGACAGACGAATAGATGGACAGATACTAAGACGGACAGACGGAGAGATAGGCAGACAAGTATGCTTAAATCGGTTCAGAATTAAATGCTGATCGTGAATATATATATATATATATATTTTGTGATGTCTCTGAAGCTTCCTTCTGGACGTTTCAAATGCCTTGAATAGTGAATATACCATTCTCCCCTCTGGTAATGGGTATAAAAAAAAACCTTTAAACTGATTGTTCAAATTTTTACATGATTTGCATCATTTACTAATGCTTTTGCATGCGCGCGTATAAGTTATTTATTAAATTTTTAGTATCTTTCATACGCCCGGGATACCTATATAAAAACAAACCAAGCAACAAAGTAGTAAATTCAATAATAACCTTAGTTAGAGAATGGAAGGTTTTCTGTTTTTTTTCTTTTTTTTTCCATTTTAAATATAAGGCATTACTACTAGTTCAATATCAACAGTAGTAGAAATCAAATCCGTTGTCTTTGGCATTGACTTTTCCCGCTCGATCTCTTTCAACCTGTTGTAAAGATTGCAGGAAAACACTTACGTATATATGCGTGCATGAATATATTTGTCATTGTTATATATATGATATGTAATTACCTTGGCGTCTCCTAGGATGATTTTTGTTTTGGTTTTTTCTCTAAGGAATAATATATATGTATATATATATATATATGTATATATGATGTAAACAGTGACACATACGCTCCTATAAATAACCCAGAAAACCAAATATTTTGGTTTAGTTTATTTAAATGCACGTGTGTATGATGCTCTTAGATTTTGCTCTATAACTGTCTTTATTTCCTTTCACTTTATCTATCTCTCTTCCTCGTATTCTCTCTCTCTCTCTCTCTGTCTTTCTCTAGAGAAAAGCTTTACTTTTTATTTGTCTTCTTCTAATAATTTTTTTTTTTTTTTATTACAATAGCGACTTAATTTACAATTAAAACCACTTAACATAAGTAGTTTGCGCTGTGTGTGTGCACTTCTGCTGAATACCGCAAAAAATAATAAAAAAAAAAAAAAAAAAGAACGAGGAAAAAAAGGAAAAACAAAACTGATGTGTTTCCCTCTCATTGAGTCGATGTTACGTTTTGTCCTCTTATAGTGAAATATGAAAAATACGTCATCAGACAAGGTCGGGTATTTTTAGTAGATAAAGCTTTGTAAGCGTTATTCGAAATGTGCATAAACTTTAGAAAAATTTAATGTTAAAGAAGAAGATTAATTAGAACTTTTATCGAAAATTTTATTTCATGAGAGAGGAAAATGTTATCAACACAACGCCTTATATTGCTTCCTTTTAATCCCTCCAATCAGTTATGATTTCGGTTTTCATAGCACAGCTATACTATTACGAATAATTGCTCACTGATTATATCTTTTTAGAAAACTATAATTATCGAGAAAATAACAAGTCACTCTATAAGTTTATACGATGGCATATATAGATGATCGTTTGACTTTTGATTGAATAGCGAACAAATTCATCAATGTCTGTCTTCTTCTGTGGTAATATGATCTCTTTGCATCGCAATACAAATATTATGTGGGCCTTTTTCACCAGTAGATGGTACTGCACCTATTAAGTAAGGCTATAGCTTTTGCAAAAGGTAACAATCCATTGATAATTATGCCCTACACCGATCGTGATATAAAAGTATATTAGGTTTGCGCGGATGTATGCAATAACCAGAAGAATTTGTAATAGTCCCATCTAATTTTGTACGTCCCTCTCGTTTTTAACGTACGTACATCTCGCAATTTTTGAGATATATTGATGAAGTTTCGTATACTGACATGTTTTGGCTGAAGGACGAATGCTGTTGACAATGATTCGGATCGGTCGACATTTTCGACCGCTCCCCATATAAAGCCTTACTTTGAGAAGTCGTTACATGAATAATTGCAGAGTGATATAGGGCGGATCATGCCCCATTATGGTGTTTTTACCTGTTAAGAAAGAAAAATGAAAACTATCCTCTAAAGAAGTGTTAAAATTCTGGAAAAATTCGCTTCATTTTATAACATCACTCGGCCCGTGGCCGGCAGTACTTCAAAAGCTGGTGAAAACACTAGTGGGGACGCTTTCTCAAAATGAGCAGAAAACAAATTGTTTGCTGCACCAGGAAAGATAATGAATTGTGTTCGGTTGATCCATGATTACAAAACACATACATCGATGAATTTCTCTAAAAAGATGTACATTGACAGTTCATCTTATGACATTGGTGCGGAATTAAAAATTGATCAGGAAACAATTTTGAATCCTTTATTAAAAGCTTTGGCTTTAAAACAAAGGTCATATTCAGATACCGCTTGAATTTCTAGTGAAAAATTGATTACATCGAGTATCCATCTACGAATCGCAGAAGAAGAGTGGATTGCATGCGATAATAATGTGCGAAAACTTCTCAAGATCGGGAAAGCTGTGCAAAAAATTGACAAAATCCTTATTGGCTCCGGGTCTAGTGGAATCGAAATGCATTCCGAATGGCTTCTGCTTAGGTAGGCGATTAAATCAACCCTTTACTCTTAAAAACTAATGACATTAAAGCTCGGGATTAATATGAAACGAGTCTTTATCCATTACGACATATCAGGTGTAATGGAACACTCCTAGATCCAATCTCGTCTTTAAAGATTGGAGAAGAAAAATATTTTCATGCATTCACGGTGCAGCCTCTATCTTGCCCCGACTGACTATAGTTTATTTCACGTTTTGCACAATTTTCTTAATGATTAAATAGTTGACTTCAAAAAAGTCCAGTGACGAACACTCGATTTAATTTTTCGCCTACATATCCTTATATATGCCGGAGACTCCATGAAAAATGTGCATTCGTGGTCGTTATAAATATTGAAAGCGATTTATCCTTATATGTCTGTCTGCATAATTGTTAAAGTAATGATGAACTATGTTCTTCATCTACTCGGATGATTAACGAGTCTGTTCACGGATTTGTTAAAATTGCAACACCTGCCAAAAATCAACTACAATGATCGATTCGTTGATGTCTTGTTGACCTTTAACAACGACTCTAATCACATTTTTTTCAATACCCTACGCTACTTGTGGTACAGGGTATATTAGGTTCGTGTGAACGTATGTAAAAGGGTTTGAGATAGAGCCATTTTTTGTTACACCGATCGATTCAAAATTATAATTTGAAGTGATCTAAGCCTATCTGTCCATCTGTCCATCTGATGTCTGTGCATCTAAAATCGTGTTTAAGCTACAGGTTTGAGATATTTTGACGAAATTTGGTACTGTTATGTGTTTTGACCCAAGGACATACCCAATTGAAAATGGTTCGGATCGGTGCACTTCCCATGTAATGCTTTATTTTTGAAAAGTTGCAATTTTCAAAATTTCTCAACCAGTGGCAATCTAATGAACCTCATCTCGTATAATGAAAATTGAAGTTCGCACAACAAAAAGGTAAAATTTTCAAGGCTTCATGATGAAAATTATATCTTAATAGTAATTTAACATAAAAAAATTAACTTCACCAAATTTGGACCATCTCGGCCTATTTTTTGGATCCTACCCTCTAAACTTTAATATGTTATCATGAAAATTAAGCCATAATTGTGACATAAAAAATGACATAGAAAGTTCTTAAATTTTGGAACTTCTTAGGCACAACCATTCTAACGCAACGCAGGAGTTCATTTGACCCTCATATGAAGCCACACGTCTTTGCGTATTTAGATGACATCATTGTTATTGGAAAGACGCTGAGGGAGCACCTAGCTGGGAATCAACGTGGAGAAGCGCGAGTTTATTAAGAGGAAGCTGAAATACCTGGGCCACGTAATTACCGAGCAGGGAATTCAAACAAAACCCGCGAAAACTGCAGCCAGATGCCGATACCCACGAGTACCCGCGACATCAAAAGGTCCCTTGGCATGGCTTCGTGCTACCGCCGATTTGTACCGGAATTCGAAGCCCTCTCGAAGCCGCTCACCGCATTGCTGAAGAAGGGGAAAAATTGGCGCTGAATCGAAGATCAGCAAACGGCGTTCGGGATTCTAAAAGCCAAGCTAACTCAGAGCCTCATTTTGGTCTGTTCGGACTTTACGAAGCAGTTCACCTTACAGGCGGACGTCAGCGATACCGGGCTAGGAGCCGT